AATTTGCACGAGTGACTCACGTGTAAGTTGATGCAAAGATGCGATTGACCTATGGCTAAGCCCCGCCCTCAAACGCAATGAGCCAATCACAGTGCGTATAGCCATTCCCATACACTGGGACATTCTCTGCCTGGACGTCCATTGAAATGCATTACAGAAAGTCAGTTTGTTCGGTTTTATGAGCTTTTTCTGAGATTTGAAGTTTAAAAATGGTCAAACGGTGTGCATGGGGTACATGCAACTCTGACACAAGGTATCCTGAGAGGCTGGGCGACCAGGTGTATTTTTACACTTTAAACCACATCTCAAGCGAGAAAAGTGTCTCCTTTGGATAAAGTTGTGTGGTAACGTTAGATCACAACATCAACTCAACGTGAATAAGATTAACAATGATGTCTACATCTGTTCTAAGGTAAGTCAACATTGTGTTTGAGGCAACATATTGTCACTTTGCTGGAAAGAAATATAAAGTTATCTTTAACATCTCTAGCTAACGTTAGCTAAAGTTAGCCTAACGTTAGCTCCTAGCTGCGTTGTTCATCATGTCACCTTGTTTGCTGGGAGTTCATTAGCCTATTTTGTTCTAGTTTTGTACTTTGGTGATCGTACATCATTGTTAGTTGTTGTCCAAAGGGCTCTAGTTAAGCTAACGTTAACTTCTGGAGCTTAGCTTCATTAACTTATCTGTAATGGCAGAGATAACAAAGGTTGGCAAACGTTATGCTGAATGATTCAGTGTAAATACTGTAGCACCAAACTAACGGAGAGACACTCTTGGTAAAGATGGTAAAAAGGCCGTTATCCTTTTCTCATATTCTGAGCCAAAAACCTTAACTTCAGTGGCACTTTAACTTGTTGTCTTTGATGGTGACGGCAACCAGATGCGGTTCACAAGCGTACACTGTGACCTGTAAATTTTGGCTTGTAATTTAAGCTTTTCATCGACCTTCTCAACAATAAAATGATGAATATATCCCTCCAATGCGTAGTTTAGGCCCTTTTGGTTACTTCTCAATGACATCTGATCGTTATGTCTCCAAAAATCATCAGTCGCCTCCTGTGAAATGCCGTGTACTGTGACACCTGCCATAGCGCCGCTCACTGAATGTTGATAGTTTGTCCGAGTGAGTGGAGGGGGCGTGGCTTAGCCATAGGTCAGTTAGACGCAAATTCAGGTGACACTGTTGCCACAAAAACATCCATGGCCACCGTCCTGCTGTCTGTATCGACCAACACCTTTTCTTGGGTCTGATGAGCGTTAGCATCGGCCGCCTTAACCCGGTGTTTGGTTCAACCTCCAGCGCCAGTTCTGCTCACCAGAAGAGGCCCACTAGGCAGCTCACATTCAACATCCGGCTCCAAACCATCAAGCCGGACTTCTTACCCGTTTAAAGTTTGAGAATCTATCGTTCACTTTACAAGATAAAACTGGGAGACTCTCACAGTCGCAGGGCTAACTGTTAGCATCACACGGCTAATGTTACCTAACGGTTATTAATGGGTGGAGTTGAGTGCTACGAGTGTGAGCTTCTTGGGACCGTTTAAGGCACAGTGTTGGATGTTAGCGCAGCTGCTATGTTAGCTCATGCTAACTCGCCAGGAGGAGAGCGGCTCAGCTGGTTGCAGCAACAGAAAGTTTGCTGATCCAGCGAGGAGTTCGGACAGTCTAAGTTCAGACCTCTGCTGCAAAAAGGATCGAATTCAGGTAACGTTTGACTGAAGATGTTTTGAAGATGTGACGAATCAACTCTGACTGGCTGTTTCAGAAAACAGATCGACATCGGGGCATCAAAGTCCTGCGAAATGGAGTCTGGGCTTTTCTGAGGTGCGTTCACAAGTTGTTTTATTCGCCGTTGATCTTTACAATAATTCACAGACCCAACAAAGCGGGTAGGCTTTAACTGCACCATCAAAAGCTTCGTCAACACGTGTCATATTCAGTGTGTGGGTTGTTAGCTCAGAGGTAGCGAAGGGGATTTAGATGGTAACACGGATGGTAACGACAATGCTGACCTGAATCAGTGGCCTGATGGAAGGTTTGCAGCCACAGTTTATATCCAGAGAGTCAGACTGCTAATATACAAACATAATACTTTAGGAGACAGAGCTGCACTGTGGGGACGTCAACTGAACGGGTTGGAATCATCCAATTCTTCTGTTGGAGGCAAAACTATATGAAATATAAATAATAAATTTGGTGTCTGGATCATTTTGTTTTTATCTCTGATAAAATAGTTAATATGTTGTATTATACACATAATATACATAAAACATAGATTCGACAGCTGATCACAAACTTTTGAATGGCACCTTTTCAGATGATTAACATGAGAATAAAACACATCACAGTGGCTGTGAAAGATACGGGATGAATATGATGTCATATTTTGCAAAAGGCCCAAAAACTTAGAAAGGCTAAAACTCTGACAGAAGAGTCAAGAGCAGCACGAGTGCAAATGTACATCAGAAAATTTTCAAATAAAGAAACTTTTTTTTCCAACATATGCTCAACTTCAGATCAACATTCACAAGGTTTCAAATCTGGGGAAAAAAACACAGGAAGAACAGTGACGAATCTGAAACTGAAAATGTGTTGGAGAAACTCTAAAAATAGTTGCCGCAGCTGTGAAAGAAAATTACAGCCTTGCGGTTCATGACTCCGCCCACCAGCCCAGTTTCTCTTACAATCAGCACAGTTTCATGTTACAGATACTCTATAATCTATCTGTAGGTAGAAAATACAAATGTTGATTCACCAACAAGAACACACCGGGAGAACAGTGGCGAATCTGAAATTGAAAACGTGTGAAAAAGTGCTGAAGTTGTGACGAGAGAAAACTCAAAACTTAAAAACTAAATGTTCCCAGAGATATGAATTTCTTTTCAGCCCATCAAAATATGATGCAGCCTTCAAATCTCAGTTTCAATCTTGCAAAACCTTTTTTAAAAATCACTTTCTAACCCTTCAAACACTGAGTTTCATCCATGTTCTTTTCCAGTCTCTAAATATGACATCATATCCATCCCACAGAAATGCTGTTGTCTTTTTCCATCACCACCAGAGCTCCACACGTCACTTGAAAAGGATAAAAAACAGATTTTCCGTGGGGCGATAAAAAGATGAGGTCCATATACAATTTGAGACAAACAGCAGTTGATCAAAAAGCACAGGTGCTAGGCATACTGGTATCGTAGGAATGTGGACTGTGAATTGTCGACCACATGGATGAATGTGCCCACATGATTCACAGTGTGTGGTTTGTGTTTTTTGGTTTATATTTGTGACAATAACCCCCATCACCCCTCCCCCACCCCAAAGCTTATATATTTATATATTTACAATAGATCAGTAAACAGAGTTACTGCGTAGCCCGCTCACGTCACGTAACATCACGCTTCAAGTCACCTGAACACCTCAGAGAGTCACTTGATAACACAAGAACGTACGGAAGCAGAGAAAAGACCGAGCCTGCAATTTTTTATGTTGAGATCACAACTTATTTCAGTATCTTTAGATTACAAAACTTATTTTCTTGTGATAACAAATTAATTTATGTCGATTCTCATGAAAACAAAATCAGATTTCTCAAGATAATGAGATGATTTATCACGAGGAACAAACTCTGTTTTCTGGAGATCATGAGAGAATTATGGATAACTCAAAAACGTACGTCTGGTTCAATTGATCGCACCTGACTTCAGCTGTGGTGACTGTCAGGAGGAGACATGAACAACATGAACGTGTAGTTTTGTTTGCTGCAGGTACGTCGTTGGAGCAGACAGTTTGGTTTTATGATGGCCACAGATGAGAGCTCACTGAGAAACATCACAAGTAATAAGAGATAAAGAAACTTTCTCTTGTGGTAACGGGTTGATTATCTCGTTTTCTCAAGATAACCACAAAAGTGACACGTAATCTTGAGATAACAAAATAATTAAATCGTAATCTCGAGATAACAAAAATTCATCTTCTGATCTCAAAATAATAAAATAATTAATTCGTGATCATTAAGAATTAGCAAACATGTCTGTCCTCAGCTTCCGCAGATTAAACTCCTTCCTGCTTTAATAAACGTCTCGGCTCACTGTTCTCTTCATCCTCGTCCGGCTGCTGGTTGAGAGGCAGCATTAGTAAGTCTCTTTATTCAGCTGAAGAGTTTTGTTCCAAAAACACTAAACATCCCTTCAAATTCATTCTAGATGTTGTTAACAGAAGTTTGACAAAATAATCTTCACTTAAGGTCCATTCAGGAGCATTTTACAGAGCTTTCAATCACATCTTAATACAGTGTGAAACTGTTAGTTTTCACGTTCAGTTAAAGTACTGATACCACACTGTACAAATAAATGTTACTTAAGTAAAAGTATGCAAGTATAATCAGGAAAATGACAGTGACCTTTATAAATTATATCATTAGATTATCATTACGCATGCATTAATATAAAAGCAGGATTTTACTCTTGGAATTAACCAAAATAATTTAATTTTCTGTCAATTTACTACTTAAACAATCAATGAATAGTTTCAACTGTACGTGTATAAACTGTTGGGTAATTTAATTTATAACAAACATACAGAGTGCTCCAGGAATGAGTCCTGAAACCTGGAAATGAGTTAACATTTAACTCCTGACTAAATGAGACGACAGAATATCATCACAGTGAATATGACTTTACAGCCTCGTTGTGGGCGAGACATAAAGTCATGCTGTAGCTAGCAAGCTGTAGGGTTGCAGCGATAGCCCAGCCTTAAGGTTTACAGTGATATAAAAGTTGATGGTTATCACACTGTACATTTGCTTATCTACAATACTGAAAAAAGAAGTGCAACTGGACGTTGAATCTCTCCTTTATTTATGTTATTTTTAAAGGACAGACTTTATAAACAAACTTAAATTAACAAATAGTTTCAGTTATAGTAATAAAACGTTTGTTCAGTCAACAATAATCCCTCTGTTTTCATTCCTTTAAGAGTCGTTCTGATTGATAATAATATAAATTAACGCGATACTGTGAAATCACAATATTTTCTGAGACGGCTTTCGTACCGTGAAAATCTCATACTGTTGCAACCCTTTAAAGCTAACACATAATGTAAATGTAGTGCAGTGAAAACTATAATATTTCCCTCTGAGATATGATGGCATAGAAATATAAAGTGGCATGAAAGCACCTCAGACTAGTACTTAAGTTCAGCACTTGTGTTACATTCCAACACTGATTTTTGGACACAGAGGACGGGCTATATGCTAAGCTAATAAGCTAAAGCTAAGCTAATGCTAAGCTGTGTTTATATGAAATCAGGGAGACGGTGGACGGCAAACCGAATAGAGCAGGAGGGTAAAATCAGGTGAGGTCAGCAGAGGATACCGGCAACAGTAGATGACACTGCAGCTGAAAGTCAAAATGTTTAAATTTTTGTCGTCTTCCGCGACGGAATTTACAACCAGATGTTACGTAGCTTCTTCACACAAAGAGAAACCACAGGCCATCTTGCACCGGACATTCCTAGAATAATTATATAAAATGATAAACATTAAATAATGAGATTTAATGTGTTTTATTCCATTTTTGTAAACAATACCATAGCAACATAAACCCGTCTGTCCAACTGTTTGTTTTTCCCGTGCCTTCTGCCTGACTGCATGTGAACGCAGCTCGAGCTAACTGCCTTCTGACTTTGGCTCGATTCTTCAAACTTCACTGCTAACCCACTCATGGGCTTAACATTTTCTCGTGGTTTCATTTTGGAACAAAACTCTTCAGGTAGAAATGTATGGAATGTGTTTAGAGTAGATGAACGTAGCACGACTGCACCAAGCTGGCTGAGAACAGAAAGGAAGATAGCACAACAGCAAATGAACGAACACAACGACCAGATGATCGAAAACAAAGATGAAAATAAAATCTGTTAAATAATTTAGTCGCTGGGTTTGAGTCCAGTGTCCGCTGGGATGGAATCCAGTTCAGTGCAGTCCAGCGACACTAGCTCAGAGTTCTCACTGACGTAAGATAGCAAAAAAACAAAAACAAAGTGTGCAGGCAGGAACAATAGAGACCTCTATGGCAGGCAAACGTTAGAGAATATGGAGTGCTGTACATTCACACCCAGATTCAAAGTCAAACTTGGTCACGTGCATCTTTTGATCCACTAACCTCTCGTCTCCAAATGTCTGCAGTGTCCTTTATCTCCGTGTTCATCCATTCTCAGCTCTGTATAATGTCCCTCCTGAGGTTTCGGAGACTGATGCAGCCTCTCTCCGCAGCCCGGCTCGCAAAGTGTTCTCCAGTGATGTGGCAGAAAATGATGACGACAGTCGGCGGGGGGTTTCATCCTAAAGCTCGTATCCAAGACGACGCCGGCCTCCTCTCTCATAGTGACGTGGACTGCTTGATGCTGTGGAAGCTGACCCGTGAAGGTGAGGTGGGGATGGACATGGCCTGGGTCATCCGGGCTCGGATCGAGTGCTGCTCCTGCCAGCGGTGGAACCGTTTCCTCACAGCTGAGCGCACCTGTCGACAACACACCAAAGAGACTTTTACAGAGGGAGGGGCCATTACATCACCGTGTGCATACATCAGGGCCAATCTCTTTTCTCCTAACAGCAGGTAGTTTAGATTATCATAAACTGACCAACCTTCACACTGTTAGTGATATTTAAAGGCACAGTTCACCCCCACATCAAAAATACATATTTTTCCTTTTACCTGTAGAGCTGTTTATCAGTCTAGATAGTTTTGGTGTGAGTTGCAGAGTGTTGGAGATATCGGCCGTAGAGATGTCTGACTGCTCTCCAGTATAATGGAACTAGATTTGCCAACCGTATCACAACACATCACTCCTGGACTGAAGGCTCGTGCTCATGACAGTGTGAGATGTAAACATCAGTGGTGTCCGCCTCAGCTGAGCTGTAACGTTAGCTAGCTCAGTGGTGCTAGGAGAGCTAGCAGTAGATGCACGCTTCCTTCTGCGCAGTGATACAATTGGTGTGTGCACCTCAGTGGAGAGAAAATAGTTCCTACATGAAACTGCTCACAACAAGGTCTGTGGATTATCTTCAGTAACCAGGTCATGATTTCTGCAAAGAGACACTGATGTTGAGTTTTGAGCTCCACAAGCTGAGTGACATCTAGTTCTGTTATCTTAATATATAATGATGAAAACTCTGTGTGTGTGTGTGTGTGTGTGTGTTCCATGTTTTTCTCCTCACTGACTTGGTCAATCCATGTGAAATTTGGCACAGTGGTAGAGGGTCATGGGAGGATGCCAATGAAGCAATATTACATCAATTGGCCAAAGGGGGGCGCTATAGCAACCCACTGAAATGTCAAACTTTGAATGGGCATATCTCATGCCCCGTATGTGGTAGAGACATGAAACTTTGCACAGAGATGCCTCTCCTCATGAGGAACACATTTGCCTCAAGAACCCATAACTTCCGCTTATATAGATTTTCCGCCATTTTGAATTTTTTGAAAAACACTTCAAATGGATCTCTTCCTAGGAAGTTTGAGCGATCTGCATGAAACTGGGTGAACATAATCTAGGGACCAATATCTAAAGTTCCCTCTTGGCAAAAGTTGGAAAACTTACTAAAACTGAGCTTCTATAAGGCAATGAATATTGCGGAGGGCGTGGCTCATCACATAAAGGTGTATAACATCTCAAGGGTTTCACCCATCACCACGCAACTTTGTAGGCATATGACCACACATAATCTGAGGGGACCCCTCCATTATTGACCCCATCAAACAAAATGGGGGCGCTAGAGAGCTCATTTCTTATCTAGGCCTAACCGCCATATGGATTTTTACTAAACTTGGTAGATATGTAGAACAGGACACCTCAAGGTGACTGGAGAAATTTAACTCTAATTGGCAACTGGGTGGCGCTATAACAACAGAAAAATGCTTCAAAATGGCTAAAATGCGACCGATCGCTGTGGCTCCCCCTGTGGACCAATGTTGGTGTTGTTTTCTAATGTTTGGTATGACTAAGTCATGGTATGGTATGCTGTACATAATCACGGAAACTGTCAGTGTGTCATTCTGTCTGTCAGTCATTCTGTCTGTCCCACGTTTTTCTCCTCACTGACGTGGTCAATCTATGTGAAACTGCACATAGGCATTGAGGACTGGCATAGGTAGAAGGTGACAAAGATACCAATGGGTATGGACTAGTACCGCATATCATAGATATAAAGTCAAACTTAAAGACTGTAATTACAGGTCATAATTATGACTTTTTTAGGTGAAGATAATAGCATAGTATTTTTTATTTTACTTACTAGGTCAAAATTATGAGATTTTTCAGACAAGAATGATTCAAGAGATACTGGGTTGAAATTATAAGACAGGAAGTAGAGAAGACAAAATTCTGAGACAGATATGAGGATTTACTGAAGATGTGAACTCAAAATGTTGATTTATTAGGTTAGAATGTATATTAGTATGCAGTGTTAATCTTGTTGATGAAAACTGACAAAAATTATTCGTCAGCGACCTTTTTTCCATGACAAAAACGAGATGATGACAAGCTGAAAATGGATCTTGATGATAAAAACTACGACGAAATCTTTGTTTTATTTTAAATGACGAGGTGAGATGTGATGAAAATGTTAGTGGTGGACTATCGGACATTGAAAGCCAACAACGGCCGTGCTTGTAATTATCCTCAGATGCAGCATGAGCGACAGGCTGGTAAACTCCAGTAAATAGTCTGCACCAGGATGTTTCAGTAGCCAGCAGGAACAGTCAGAGCCGTTAGTGTGAGTTTGTTAGCCATAAAACAGCCTTGTGTGTGTGTCTGTGGATGGTGGAGCTGCTAAATGGATTTGTGGAGTTTATTAGCCGTTAGCAGTTAGCTCTGCTTGTTAGCAGCCGAATGGCAGCTGCCGGACTTAACATCTGTTGATCCCTCAGCTCCGTACTGTCTCAGGAAGGTTTATGAGTTGATCACTGTTTGAGAGGCAGGTAGGAGGCTCAGTTATCTGTGAGTGTAGCTGTGCTGACAGTAAACAGGGGTGTGTGGGTGTCAGCAGGTTGAGGCAAAATGATTCAGTTGTTTAAATTGTTGAGAAAAAGCGTGAGATACAAAGTCAAAATTAATTGATAGTAATTATAATTCACAATTCTGACTTTTTAACTCCAGACAATGAGACAGTCGGTCAATTCTTTGACTTTCAAAATCAAAATTCTGCAAAATAAATGAGTCAAAATGATAAGACATACGACCTGAGAATTGTTGGTATCTCAAAATTCTGACTTGCAAAGCATGTCAACGCTAATCTCATGACTGGAGTTACCATAAGGACTTCAATTTTGATCATTCCTTTAACTCATTGTCTTGTTTCTTTCTGGCAGAAATTAATTTCCCTTTGAATCACTGCCTGCGATGTAAAACCAAATCTACACCTCCGATTCCAACACACTTCATGCTCCTTGTAAACAAAGTCTAGAGCAACAACATGCCATGAATCACTGTAATGCTGATTAAAGAGGTTCCTCCTTCTCCTCTCTCCCTGATCCAAAATCAATCCTCCCATGTGTCCCTCTGCTGAACATGCTGCCTCCAGTAATAATACAACAACAGGGTCTCAGAGGAGGAGCTCTAAACCCAAAAGCTGATCCTCATAAAACACCAAACAATCATTTTAACACACTGTAACATTTTACATCTCGATTCATCAGAGTGCAAACCAGCGTTGTGTTTGGCAGCTGTCCTCTGCACAGATCATTTAATCCCCCACACACATGTTTTTAAATGTTTTCCTTTTCTCTTGAATGTGACCGCGGGGTTCCTTTGTTCATCTGTCTCATTTATTTTCTGCCACTCTCAGGCTGAAATAAAACACTAAATCAATATCCTCTGTGCGCTCCACACGCTGGTTAAGCCCCTCGTTGGAGCTGCAACACGGTCCATGATGAGAAATTCATTCATCATCCAGCGGCAGTAACTAAAGGCCAGCAGTCAGCTGATATTACATCCATGTGCTACTGGACGAAGAGCTTGTAGAGTAATGATTATTCTGTGATGAGATGCTGGACTCAAACACCAGATTGGGATTCAGCTGAAGACACACCAGGCTGCCTTGATTAAACCTAAAGATTTGACATAATCCTCTCCATGAAAAGGTCAAGTGATAATATAATTATCTTTATGTGACATCCGGCAGTATTTCACAGGTTGTGGGCAAAGCCAAAAGGGTATTGATCGAAGCTTTGGAGACTTAATGTCTTAATTCATTTACACTTTATGTATAACGCCATCCTTTCAGAAATAAAACCTTTAAAGGCCCTAAAAATCTTCCACACTGACGAAACAGATCTTCTACTAAAGTTCGATTTGTTGGGTTTTTTGATGTGAAACATTTTCTGTTACGATGGCCGGAGCTCATTTGGAAAAAGACCAAATTAAGCAATGTATGGATTACAGTTTGACGAGAAGCTGTTGGGTTTGTTTCTGTTGCCTGCACTGTCAATGTGAAGCTGATCTAAGCTCATCCACACCTGCTGGATTATCATAAGGGAGTGTCACACTTCTCAAAAATCCACAATTTGATTAGACTTTCGATTTTAAGGTCACGTTTTGATTTATGTTTCAATTTAAACATTTCTTCTAGAAGATAACGACGTCTCAGCTGATTCTGTTTCCCAACTCGTCAAAGACGGCGCTTTGTTAGTGACTCCGGCATCAGACACTGATGCAAAATGCACCTTTCGTGGTAGTATGATGCACTGCTGAGCAGCATCGGTTAGATATGCTGCTCGAATGATGTAATAGAAACAGCGGGTGGGAGCGGTGGTGGATGGGTCAAACCAAGACTTTCACCGGGGTGAAACCTGGGTTCACAGCCTCGTTGTGGTGGCCATGTTAAGTCATGTGACCGCAGTGTAGTTCGTTAATAACCTAACGTTAGCGTTTTACTTCTGGTGATTGAATTTAGGCTCATAAAGTGGTCTTCATGTAGGATCATCTTACGAAACAAAAAGTGTAATTATCATAAACGTTTCTTTGCCACAGAGTTTATTCCCTGCAATAATCTGAAAGCCAGTGGAATCATCCCACTGGTTTTGTGACACTGAATTACGCATCAGCCGACAGAAAAACATCATTTCTGCTGCACTCTGTTTTTAAACTCTTTCTGTTTTGTCTGTGAAAACTCCTATTTTTGTAAAGTAACTAAAGCTGTAGGGTTGCAGTGATATTAGCGATGCACGATCCAGCTTTTTCAGTTTCGTCCGTCCAAAACAACTTTCTCAGAAATTGTCACAGCTTTTGCGTCACTGCTGGGGAGTTTCTCTCTTCTTTGCAGCGCATCTGCTGACGTTAACTGCTGTGTAGTATTACCACCTGCTCCTTTTGACCTGCTCAACTGCTGGAACTCTTGGTGCTCTGTTTGGTGATGTTTTTGTAGATGCTTTATTAAGTTGGTAGTATTATACTTGGCGGTACGACCACCAACCCTAGCAACATTCACTTTGCAGACATTGCAAAATGCTGTCGGGCTAGTTGGTCTATTTTGATGATATCAGGGCCGATATTTGATCCAGATATCAGATCGGTGCGTCCCTTGGTGAGATACTGGTTTTAAGGTTTACTGTGATATAAAATTTGACGGTTATCATACCGTGTATATTTACTCCTCTAGAATCTCCCTTTTATTTCAGTTAATCTCAAAGAGGAGATTTTTAACACATTAACAGATAGCTTCAGTTTTAGTAATGAAACATTTGTTCAGCCAGCCTGGGCGTCCACCGTCCTCTTCCTGTGTGAATGTTGAGCCAAACCATGATGTTTTGTTTCTATACCACCTGTTTTTGTCACACAATTAAAGTAACGTAAATACGAGGTGTTTTACTGACGTTGTATTTTAAAAGGACACAATTCATGTAACAAGCGTAAACTGACACGCCAGCTCGAGCGTATTTAGACAATAAAGTCTGCTGACAAAGGGCCGATGTCGGATGAGAATGTGTCGGACAACCGGCATTTACATTTTCAAATTCTTCTCTTTAAAGACAGGCTACACGGGTTCAAGTGTGATATCACCCCACATTTCTGAGGGGACTCTACCACACTAAGGTCATAGGGTCAAATTTAAATTATTTAAATGTTTTAAATAATAACTTTTTTATCAGTCAGTTGATCAAACTGTTGTAAAACAAAAAGCAGATCCATCAGACGGCAACAGCCTGAGATCCTCACCTGCAAAAAGCCACCAGATGTAATGATGATGTCATTCAAAATGGCGGCCATGGCTTATTTCTAACATTGTCTGTTGAAGCAGGAGGATGTTCGTCCAGCTCTGGCCGAGGCCGTGGTGTCTGTCCTGACGTGCAGCTCAAGGCTACAGCTTGTTTTTCTTTTTCTCTGACGTCATCGCCGAGCCTGTGTTCAGTGATCTATATCAGTTTTGATTGATTCAGAATTTAAACTGTGACACCCATAATATTTAACTCTGTTATATTGATGCTTTTCTTCTTCCCTTCAATAATAACTACTTGAACAACAACAGATAAAAAAACCTGTTTTATTTACATTTGATTCAAACTTCCTCTCGGTCGATGTCCCCACAGTGTAACGTGACAGTGGAGGAAACTGTGTGAACCTGGGGATTGAATTTGTTTATCAATCCAGAGCGTCAATGACCCTCGATCATTACTGAACCACAACAGTGCAGCTGCGCTCCATCCGTCTGGATCCAGCTCCAGCAGAGCTAACCTGAGGACAAACTTCAGTTTCTGCTGTGGAGCTTGAAGAAGAGCTTCACTAAAGTTAATTCCAGCCTGTTAGAGGCATTATTGACACTGAGCACTGAAACACAAACCTGCTCCTGTTTAAAGCTGCAACACTTTGATGCTGAGTTTCAAGTTTCTTTCACCAACGACTGCTGAGTCCTTCTGTTCTTATTTAACTGCTGCTCAGAGGATCTTTGTCTCTTACAGTGCTTCGTTCTCCCTCCATAATTCATATATATATATAGCTTTACTTGTGGTGGACACCTGTCTATCACAAATGCAAATAATATATTTTATCCCTTAATTTTATCTTCTGCACTGTTTCATATCTCAGACTCTCTCTGCCTTTTATACGTGTGTGATTTTCTTTTTCTACATATTTAATGAGCGTTGTTGGAGAACAAAGACGTTCACTGTGCATATGACAATAAATAACTTGAAACTAACAAAAAAAAAAACTTGACACATTTCCGTGTCCTTCAAAATCTTTTCATATATGAAGCCAGAAAAGGAAAAATATCATCAACAAAGTCAAGATGTTAAAATATTTACATGCTTAACTAATGAAGCTGTGGCCAAGGCTCAGTCAGGAGGAGGAGGAGGAGGAGGAGGAGGAGGAGGAGGAGGAGTGCCATTCACTCTTTGTCTATGTGTCAGTGTCTGGGTCACTGGAGTCATCAGCTGATTCACAATCAACCAACAGCACAGCGACACACCTTCTCTGTCAGCCAATCATCTTACTGCTCCTCATATTAAATATGTTTTTTGCTCTACTGTAGTTCTGTCTTGCTGCCGTCATGTGCGCCCTCCACCTCCCCATCACCACCCAGTGTTTACGGATTCATCAGCCTCATCAGCCTCAGAGTCATCAGCCACCACCGACACCAGAGTCTGGACTCCATGGGGGGATTTATCCTGCTGCCGCTCAGATGTCACTTGATCACAAAATATCTCCCTCTAATGTCCAAGCACCAAAGACTGAAGTTAAATATTAACATCTTGCACTCCACCCCCATTTTGTAGCAAAAACGCCTAAAATGACATACCCAAATTAAAATGACTGTAGCTTCTGAACCGCTCTGACTACATGCATGCATGAGGTCTTGCCAGAAAGAAAACTCCCTGAAGTTTCTTGTGAAAGTGTCAGAAACACTCTAGGTGATACAGAGACAGAGTAATGGGCCTCTGAAGTCAGTAAAAAGTTGAAGATTTTGCCTAAAATAAAATAAAAAACATGTTTCAGGATGAATAACTGTCTGTGGCTTCATCTGAGCAGGTAAATGACACTGTGGGGCTGTAGGCACACTATCAATGAACACTTGTTTCAAATTTGAAGAAGACTGCTCAAAGTATGACCATTCTACAGTGTTTTTACCATGAAAAGATCCAGGCGGAGCTCCAAATGACAAGTCGGTCACTCTGCTTCAAAACAGTACTATCAGTGATCAAACAACACTCAGCCAGCTTCAAACATTGTACCTTATTGAAATCAGGTGTGATTATGATAGCTGATGTTGTTTATGACACAGAAACACCATAAAATATCACCAAATAAAGCCATATGAAACGTGAAAGTTATGATCCCACTTTCTAGACGGTGTATCTCAGCCAAAAATAGTGGTAGGAGTGAGACTCTTACCTTTTATAAACCAGCTAAGTCCCCGCTAACAGCTCCACATAAGATCGCGAGTAATCCTTTAACTTTTCCCTTCGAAAAACAGCATGACATGACTTGTCACCACTCATCGTGATTTTGGACTTTGTGTGTTTAGGCTGCTCTGGTGCCAAATACATAATAAATAAAAGAAAAACAATGTTATTTTTGAAAAGTCGAGAGCTTCCTGAATCCGGCAATACCAAACATCACATGGTTTGATGACGTAGTGCACCTGGGAGATACCATTTAACGGGGGGGGGGGGGGGGGGGGGCGAGGACGTCGGTGTCCTGGCGGAGTTAGAGAGTTCAGCACAAATCATCTGTTAATCTGTTCACTCATAATCTGTATTAAATATTATTATATTCTCTCCTGACTGAGCTGCAGCTATCTAAACACAATCCGTCAGTACATCCTGTTAAGAGTTTGAAACTGTTTGTACTTGTGTGTATTTTATTTTGCATATGCATGTTGTTAATGTTAGGTGTTAGCCATGTTAGCATCATTAGCACACACAGCCTCACAGAGCTTTTTGTTTACTCTCCATTCAGGAGCAGATCCACTGTTGGAGCCTGACGCTTCACCACAACTCCTGTAACATCTCGTTCGCTTCTGTTATATGTGATGTTTGTATAGTGTAAAAACACTAAAGTAAACTATGAAATAATTGTTTGCATTAGTGTGTTTGTTAGTGCGAGGAAACATCTGGAGAGATTGTGCAAAGACAGGAGGATGGTTACAGATAAGGAGGAGGATACAGAGGGTTTGAGTTTGGAAGGAGGAATTAAAATGATGTGTGTGTTGTTGTATTTCCTTCTGTCTTGCTTGTGCAACTGTGGCACATTAAATGTTTCCAGAACCGAAATCATATAACAATAACATGTCATGAAAAACCAGCAGCACTGCTACGACACACAACAATACTAATTTGGAGTGATGTTAAGTTATTTTTAATAATTAGTTTTTACATTATTTTCATCCCTGGTGTTCATTTCATTTTTTGAGTTTTATTTTTTGATTTTTTAAAATGTTATTGTTTCATTTATGTCATTTTTTTTTATGTAAAAAATTGTATTTATGGGGGTGTCGGTGGCTTAGTGGATAGAGCAGGCGCCCCATGTACAAGGCTGCAGCAGCCCGGGTTTGACTCCAGCCTGTGGCCCTTTGCTGCATGTCACTCTCTCTCTCTCTCTCTCTCTCTCTCTCTCTCCTTCACGCTCAGCTGTCCATCAATTAAAGGCAAAAATGCCCCAAAAAATCTTAAAATAAAACTGTATTTATTGTGTTTTTTCTTTCTTAACTGCTTTGTGAAGCACACTGGGCTGCATGTTTGTATGAGAGGTGCCACAAAGATAAAGTTGAAGCTAATGACACAAGTAAAACCACTGCTATTAGTATTAATAATAATATGACACATAATACGTAGCTTTTCTGCATGCATGCATATTCATATTTCTGTGCTATTTTGAGAGGGTTTCACCCCCGATTTCTCTGTGAGACCAAATTAAGGCTGACACTGTCATAAAGAGTAGAAAGTGATGTCACTTACACATGACAAGTCTTAATTGTGCCCTAAATATAAGTGCTGCAGGCTTTATCACTCAATCCCCTCTAATAACACACAGCAACAGCCACCAAAAGGGAGAGTGGGAGCGCCTGAAGACGGGTAATATAAATAAGTGTTTGAGGCGGGGGGAACATAAAATGTTTGATCAATGAGAGGACGTGAATCAGCTTACCTCGCTGTTCAGGAAGCAGTAAAACACTGACACAAAGAAGCCCTGTGTGGAGAGGAGGAGGGAGATAAAGACAGGAACAAAAAAGGAGGGCATTCAAAACATCAACGCCCTGATCCTGTTTTAATCGCATGCACAGCAGCTTATCACACACGATACATTCATTTAATCATCTCCCCAGAGGAACAATTCTGCCATCCAATCATTACAATTACTGCGTCTCTGTGTACAAAAACACACCCACACAAAAGACAATATCATCTCTTTGTCTCTGAAAGCATTTAGGCATGTGCAAACATTTGTCTGCGGGACAAATCGTACCTGGAAGGACTCCAAAAACGAGTTGAAATATATGAAGACGATTTGAGAGATCTCGTCTTCGCCGGGGTTCACGAAGAACAGCATGTAGGTGATTCCCAGGAGAGGAAGGAGAACCAGCGTAGCCTTCACAGCTTTCCTGCAGATGAGAGAACATGACAGGAAGACTGCTGATGCAACAGCTGTATCACTGAGGGATGCACCGTACTAACCAGGCCGACAGATTATCAGCCGATGATAAGAAATGTATGTAATTATTCATTGTTCCCATAATAAAGTTAGAGCTGATAAACAGAGTCAAAAGCAAAGTCATTGACTGAACTGGTTCAGCATCACACCGTCAATTAACACAGAGAAGAAGAAGTTAACTTTGCTATGTGTATTTACAGTATATTTCTGACTGTAAATTGTTTTCTGCAGCCTGTGTCGGCCATGTTTGAAGTGTGAGGCAGAGACATTGTTAACTTGGTCACAGACAAATATAGTAATTGTTCTACATATTGTGTTTCGACCATTCAATGTGTGCTTACTGTCATTTTGCTCCTGTAAGGCATCAGCATCAACCTGGTCACTTTATAAGGTGGTTACTGTGCAGCTCACATTGTGCTCTGTTCTGTGCAGTGTGCACATGCTGCCTCTGTTGTGTTATGGCACGTGGGTTTACTGCAGTCTGCACTGCACCTTGGATTTTATTCTCATTTATAGCGTCTACTTATTATGTGGAGGGCGACAGATGGAAATTAGCGTTTCACTAAATCTGGTGCAACCATATTTTCATTTCTGTCACTGCACACGGTCCTTTTATAATCAAATAAACTAAACTGAAAAGCACAACCTGTTAATTACAGAGCCAAACATGTCGTCGCCAGTGTGGATGTGTTTCACAGTTTCAGAGGAGGACAACATGATTGTGCCGAGGATCTGATTTCTTTCTTCTGCTGCCGTTACACAGATTAGATGCAGAGATGAAGGACATCTGGAGAAACTAAACATACTGACAACGAAACGTCTCGACTTCATCATTAAACCCATTAATTATTGATCGGTAACAATGGCGGTTTTAGGGGAGGGCCACAGGGGGGCCACAGGGGGGCCACAGGGGGGCCAGCAGGGGCCAGTCTGGCCCCCCTGTGGCCCCCCTGCTGAAGAGTCAGAGGGGCAACGTGGAACGCAGAACTAAATCGTCTCAACCAGTTGCCGGTCGGACCACTTAAAGCGGCGCACCCACCGAAAACATCAGTAGAGAATTGTGTGGCTGTATTTAAGACAACTCTTAACCTGCACGGCAACACGCAGCACCATTGAAGTAAGCTCTGAAAACTTTCTCGATCTCCTTTGGCTCATGGTAGTTGCATGTCACATCATGTTGATGTAGCCATGTGAAATACGATCTGGAGTTTTCATGGGTGTTTTATTGCGAAAATTGACTGGATACTCTCTTCTTTTCTGCACCTGACTTCCTGTTTGACTCATCTGGTCTGTGCAAATTGACGTGCCGTCGCGTGGCGTCCATCAGAAATAGACCCGGCACGTGTTTTTAGTCGAGTGGAGCGCTGAGCCGCTTCTAGGCTGCAGCTGGTGGAGCTTACAGCTTACATGGAATTGAATGGCCGCTATTAGCTCCGGCACACGTGCCTCGGCCGGATCGCGCACACCATGGATCCAGTGGGTTGCCATAAATGGGCCTGTCCCAGAGGCATTCAATTACCTGAGGGCTTTTGAAATCTTCTTTTCGAAGCCACGTAAAATTAAATGCTCTGATTCAGGGTGCCTGAAATCTCACGAGAACAAGCAGCAACAGCTGGAAGGCAGAACCGGACAGTAGCCTGAAAAGTTCATTCATTTATTTTATGAAAGATTTATAGAATAATGGCTGACTTTTTGCCAGACTTCGACTTTGTGGAGGACGAATTTGATTTTGCAGAGTTTGATGGCCGCCCTTATTTATTTGAGCCAGAATACACTGACGAAGAGCTTCGTGAAATTGAAGAACGGAGGAGGAGAGAGAGAGAGAGAGGCGCAACAGGTAGAGGACGAGAGAGGAGGAATGGCTGCTGCAAGGCTGCGTAGCTCTGGAGATTGGTGGTGTACCTGTGAATGCTGTGCCCCAGTGCCCACAGAAGAGGAATGCCTCTGTTGCAAGGAATGGGACCGGTTGCAGCCTTATTTTCAAGGCCTGGATGTTGTGACGGTTTGACTTGATTTCCTTTCTTTTGAAATCTGTTTCGGGGTGCCAGCCAGGTTTCTCTCCTGGCATTTAAGATTAGTCAGTCAGTTTGTCTGTTTGTTTGAAAACGTCACACAAGGATGAACACTTGAAATGAACACCCTTACATTGAATGGATGTGAAAACCACAACACAAATAATTTTCAAACCTAATATTAATGTATATTTCAAACACCGGCAAAAACAAACAATTCTCAAAGTTCACCACACAAAGAACAAGCCAACACAAAATTCCACTTCAGGTTTTTCCTTTTACTCAGTCTCTTTCAAATGTTCAAAGAATCAAAATAAAAAAAAATCAAATTCAGTTCATCAACGAAGTTACTTTCAGTACAGTTCAAAAAAATATCAGCAACCTTTAACAAAAAAAAAAACCTCGTTTTCTATATGTTCTCTGACATTTATCCTAACGATATGAGGCGGTCTTTGTGGAAAAAAAGCTTGTTTAGTGGACTAACTTTGCACTTGAAGGTTGCCCGTTCACTTACGTTTTAACAGGTCTGACGCTACTATGCGCCCCAGCTGTATCTAGGCTAACGGCTAACATGCTAACTATTATTTTTATGTCACTAGTCACTTGAAACAAATTTAGGACGATAGGAGACAGGTTGAAATAAACCGAAATTTCCCTTTAATGTAAAGTGTTTTTTTCACAAACTTGACACATTAACGAGTCATTTGCGGCCCAATCAGAACGGACCAGCAACCTCCTTTCAGACTGCGACCCACCAGTTCAGAACCAGTGTTTTAAAAGACAGACTGCGGGATGTTTAAAATCAGTCTGAGGGCCACAACTGGCCCCCGAGGTGGACTTTGGACATGTCTGGGATGAGTGAATCAATACGCTGTGTGCAACTCTATGATCAAATCAGAGTTTACCCATTTTAAATCGTGAAAAAAAATTGGGACATCAAAGTTTGGCAGGTCAGTGTTGATACTGTGGTGCAAATAAATTAATTTTTGGAAACACAAAGCCTTTACGTCTGTACTGAGGGATGCACTTACTGCAATTACATGTCTATAACACGTTGACATGTCTGATTTGACAGATTATGTCAAAGCATTTAAGTGCTTTGACATAAGTGGTGTATCCCTGGTATGACCTTCCCCACACTCCACAGATCAAATACAAATGCATGAATAGTTTCAGGTGTGTACAGACAGAAGTTTAGACTCAATGTACCTGTACTGGATCGTCTCTGACGTGGTGGAGGCTCGCAGTTTGGTCATCAGGATCCTCACGATGTTGAAGAGGAAGATGAAATTGATCTGTTGGGAGAATCAGACACAGAGATAAATGTGTGACTCTCTGCAGTGTGAGGCGTTTAAGTGTCTATTAGTGTCAAAGAGAAGCTGCTCTGCGCTCAGAGGTCACAGTGCTTGACAGGTTTAAAGCAGCAGGGGTCACCTCACTGTTCCCAGGGGGCTGATCTCGCCTGGTGTCGGGTTCTAACCGAGTGTCTCCGGATATATCAAAGACTGATGAGGGCTGTCTCTGCACTTCAAACAGCAAAAGAACAAAATGGATCTGAACGTTTCAAATGCAGTTTGAATGGTACAAATCTGTTGAGCCTCTGTGGAGACACCATGACTGAAATGTCCTGTAAACGTGAGGCCGTCGGTTTCATGGAGTGAAACATCAGTAGGTTACAAGCTGCATGTTTTTAATATGCTGATCCTGGAAACATGTACTGAACATTTGACCAGCGGCAGAAACATTGCTGGGAACATGAAACCCTTTGAAAGGTCTCGTTAATGAGTCACATTAAGAGGATATTAAGCCCGGGAACATAGAATTGCTCCTCGCCAGCGGGGGAGGAGGAAACTCATTGTCATGATAGTTAATACATGGACATGTTGAGGGATTAGAAACAAGGCAACCTGCTGGAAACCAGTTAAATTATCGTAAGACTTGTACGTGACACTCACATTTCCAAAACCTATTTTTAAATGAGCGCACACAGGGGCTAAATCTCTGTGCAGGATTGTGGGTATTGTGTCGTAGATTCCCTCAAAGGAGCATTTAAAATGTTTGAAACACTTCACACACATTTCTTGTCACGTTTGCACCAGTGCAGCTCACTCGGGGGGGGAACGTTGCATCAGATAGAGCTAGAGCAACTTCCACCCTGGTCGACACACTGGCGCTCTCGAGCCGCTTCTGCTGTTGCAGACGTTCTTCATTTATTGTTCAACACACCACCACATGACAGCTGCTGCTCAACAAAATGTAATATGGTCTATGAACAAAGCAGCTGTAGATCTGATGTTCAGATGCGCCATCATCTGAAATCACGGTCGAGGCCTTCGTTCCAGTGATGGAGGCTCCACTTCAGCCACATGTGTCAGTCATCTGGAGGCTCAGACAGGATCACACCTGGCGGGGACGAGGACTTACTTTGACCTCTGCCTCATCTTTCTCCTTTTACACATACGCTTCTTCCTCCTCTTGGCTCTCACCGTGTGGAGAAGTTTCTCAGAGCGAGGAGAGTTACGGAGAGAGAGCGCTTTTATTTCTTAAAAGTGACGCGCAACAGATTTTGTGACTTTGTTCACACCATTGGGAAAAAAGAAATATATTCTATAGTCATATTCTATTCATTCACACACATGCTGCTTGGAGTAATCGCAGTCCACGGCTCCTCGAGTCCCTCCCCTCCTCTTCTGCACAGCAGCACTGCACAGGAAGTTAGGGGCAGGCAGGAGTAGAGGAGACGCTGCTCACCGCACTGTGAGAGTTCAGCTGCAGTGAGCTCCGATGGTTACATCGAAGCGTGAGTACACTCTCATTGCATTCAAATGTTTTGTAGGAGATTCTTTAAAGAGGCAACAGACAGCATCTTTTCCTAAATATATCATGATGAAAATAATGTGAGTTGCACAGGGTAGTGTCCACAGTAAAATCAGACCATCAGCGTTTACATAGGTTACTTTTAGTGGCTGTGCAATAAGCTTCTGCCACTGGTGCCAAAATTTCGCGGAAAAAATCTTCTTTACAGCAGGAAACTTGTCATGTATTGCGAAATTGGTCGGTCAGCCAATCCGGGACTGGAGCTGGTCCTTATGAGGAGTTGGGCATGAGATAGTTGAGTCACTAGCACAATGGCAGACGGACAAAGTTTGGAGACAAGTGAAAAACGGCCTAGCAAAAGAAAAGGAGCTCCTCTGTGTGAGGAGGCAAAGAAGAGCAAAAAGGAGAGTGATAAAAGAAGAGGAAAAACAAGAGTAAACCTCAGTCAGGCGTTCAAGAGATGGAGGGAGCTCCTTGACCAAAGAGGCTTCAAAACCCATGTCCAGCTAGCTTTCTTTCTAATGGATCAGTAAGTAACACGGCTAAATGTTAGCTAGACCAGAGAGGACTGTACTGTACTGGCTGCTAGTTCATTCCTAGCTGGCCAGCATCGCAAATCGCCGCAACCAGGGAGCGGGTAGCGAGTGTTGGTCGGCTGACGTCCTGGTTGCCATTCTACGGCAGCCCCCAGACAGTGATACCCCCCTCCCTCCCTTCTGTTCTCTTCTCATGGAGGCAGCTATCCACGGACATCGCCCAGCTAAGTTACGCCCAGCTAAGTGAACACTGGACTTTGTTTCCCATTCAATTTGAGCTCCAACCGGCCGCATGGTTTCCACACGGTAGCATTTATTCTAGAATGGGGACTGTTTACATGTGCATATTGGTATAATTCCACTGTGTCTACTGTTGTTTGTACTGATACTGTACATATTGGTATCATTTACTGTGAGCTGTTTGTACTGGTACTGTGCATTCTGCTATTATTATTTGCATTACTATTTGTTTTTTCTTCAGATAAATCTGATAATTGTTTCTCGGTCTCTTTACTCATTTATTTAGTAGAGTGTCCACACACCTTCTCATTCTACATATACATACAATATACATACAACTTTTGAAGTCAGTGTTAGCCCCTTACATTAGACAAGGGTTGGCAACACTGCTTGGTAGCATATACAAACAGGTTTCAGGGCACACAAACATGATGGACCGCTGGTGAAATCTGAAAGGACGAGCAGGCTGAGGAGCTCAGGATATATCCATGTGTTGAACTTAACACGGTGAAATGAGCTGCCCAACTGATGTTGCCAAACATCAACTTGAAGTTGCCACTCAGACGGTGTTTCTCACACAGCAGGGGAAGGAAAAGAACAGAGCAAGGATTGTTGATTGTTAATACAAAAGACGCCCCAGAGGGCACTTTATCATGTTTTATCTAGCGTAGGGGCCCAAAGAGGCACTGCTGCTGTGTGTTTCTCAAACATGGGGAGCTGAGTCCACCAGTGCTTACAAGTCAAAGATTTAATTATGTCTTCAGCCACTGTTTGTGGCAGCAGGACAGAAAATGTGGGTTTGACTGAAAGTGTGAGTGGAACATTTCAGCCACTGGTAAAGGTCCTGTGTGAACGACTTAGGGGGACGTACCAGCAACTGGACTTTAATGTGTGGAGTGTGTTTTCTTAAGTGTATAATTCACCTGAAAATAAGAATCGTTGCATTTTCCTTCACCTTGGAATGAGCTGTTTATACAGTATCTACACAGGAAGCTTGTTGACAGTAAGAAACTCTAAAGTAACACCAGCTTTAGTGATACAACTGCTCTTGGTTATCTGAAGTGGTCCTTGAGATATTTTTTCCCATTCAGTGTGATGAATGACAAAATCAGCAGCTCATGCGGTACAGTAGGTGTGAATGATGTAACGTAGGAGCAAAAATAGCTGCAGGAATACTTTCCAGGGCCAGCTGACCTGACCTTGGCCTCAACAGATGCATGGCGATCTTTCAAGAACCATCCATTCCACCGCTCCTCGCTGACCCCCTGCATTACAGCTTATGTTAACATTTTTAATAACATCCTGTATTTATCCCTCATCACAGTGCATCATATTATTGCTGACATTAAAAGCCAGGGACGGTAAAAGGCATGTAGAGTTCACAGCCACAGCAGCCGGACAGGAGATACCACAAATATTCTGGTGACCTGACGATGATCCTGCAGGATCAAGCGCTCGGCACAGAGATAAAAGCCGAAGAGAAGCTGCCATTGTAAGCAAAAGATTTTCAGAGAAAGTAGTAGCGGAGATATTGAAGGAGGCAGACGTGTGCTTCAGGGGAGAGTCAGGCGGGACAGGCTGAAACATAAAGTGGAGAGCTCTCTTTTCAACTGCACAGAGAGAAGATAAGAGAACAGGCCGTTTCTGAAGAGGACGGGAAGGTCATTCCACCACTGGAGTCCCAGCAGGGAGACACGAGTCCAAACTGACGGTCAGATCACCACAGTGGGGGAGACAGTGATCAGAGAGCGAGGACAGTGGAGGAAGAATAAAAGAAGCAATACCACAGTGCTGCATTCAAAGTACAACTACAGACGTGTTTGCATCAAGGTGCTCAATGTAAAAGTGAATGGCTCATTTCAGAATGACATTATACTGTTTATTGAGTATATTAGTATCATGTGTGTTCGTACTTCCTCCTGCACATAAACTCACCTGTTGTATCAAACCCAAACGTATTTATAGCACCGTGTGTGTTACTGCTCCTGAGTGGAACATAATGACGCCATGTCCCAACAGCAAACAAGCGTCTGAGCTTTCTGTCCACACTGAATCCATTACATACGCACTACTCCAGCTGTTTGCTGGAGATCAGACTGGAGACGTATACGCACTTAAAAGATGGGTGAACAGCCAGTTTACTGTCTGCCTACATTTCTAATGTTCTTTCTAATCAGACAACACACATTTCATATTGTGATATTTAATGGGAGTAACATACAATATGGCCATCAGCTCCGTGGTGCTCTGCTTTCATCCAGCTGACACCTCACTGAGGTTGAAGGTATTGTGAACATAATTCCTCATATTAACTTCATCAATCCGCCGCTCCTTGTTCATTGTGACGCTTTCAAAGCCAGCGACAGTTATAAAGAGAAACAGGCTGTTTGTCAGGAGTTGAGCTCAAAATGGAGGTCATTTAGGACACCTCTTATGTCGGCTTCAGTTCAGTTTTCTTGCCATTATTAATTATTAATACAGTGATGTTTAAGCATTACTTTAATGCTGCAGCTGATTATTTGATTTTATCCTGCTCTGCTGCTCAGGGACTCTGCACATGCCACATTTTTTTCGTCCTCAAATTCACTGTTTTCAATGTATTCACATGGCAGGCGCGCTCAAACACCAGAGCGATGATGTCTCGTCGCGCACACTTTCCTGAGTGCCTATTTTTTAGGGTGCGACAGCTGCGCCCTGAGATTGAAGCCCCTTTTACACTGCCAGATTTTCAGTGAATGTTGGGCCGTTTTGCCGGCAAGCTGAGAGCGTTTAGACACACAGAGCCGGATTGGCGAGTTGATCCAAGGTGCCCAATTTTCCTCCTCGTAGGGTAGACATATTGGTGGAACCCTTTAGGTTTAAACAGACCGAGGCGGCCTTCTGCAACAGGAGGAGCTGTTGATGACGCCGCACGTGCGAGCCACTGGTGGTGGATAAACAGGAAACAGCTGATAGCAGGAATTAGCGAGCAGCTAGTAGCAAGAGGGAAACACAAACCTGACAGACACTGTAAAGATGAGCAACTGGGGAGACAAGGAATTGCGCGCCCTCCTTGTCCTCGCAAACGAAGAGGCCATTAACCGTCAGATGACGGGGACGGTGAAGAACGGGCCGACTTACGAGAGAATCTCCGAAGGACTGACCAGCCGCGGCTTCCCTCCCACGTCACTGTTTACGTCACACGCTGAGCTACACGTTTTGTTACTTGCTCACGCCCCCCATTGCCCCGAAAAAGGCACATTCTGTATAAACAAAAGTAGGTAGGCGGCATTTTGCTGCACTCCCCGATTTTGTTTTTATACTGCCAATGCTGAAAAAATACTGATTGGGCTTTCCTGCTAATTTGCACAACTCCTGTTTAAAAAGGGCTACAGAGAGTTCAACACAGCCGACAGATATCCGTCCCTTCTTGTGTAAATATCGGTCTGCGATAAATACGGGGAAGTTAATCATTTTAGTGCAGGGCTGCTTGAGCTTTACGTCTGTCTCAGGGACAACACACATTTACAAAACAACGCCTGGAAGAAGATCAGCTCTGCACCCAGGTTTTTGTTGCTTAACAACCTCACACACAAATTGCCTCCGTGCCCTTGAAAGTTGGAGCAGAGTAGGCATAAGAGCAGCACCCAGTGTCCAACCTTGTGTTTTCCAGGTGGTTAACTTAAAGATGTGGCATAACCTAACCTATACTAACACATAACCATTTATTTGTTAACTATATTTTAAACTGATCATCTGAATCTACAGTGTGACTGAAGCTTTGAAATAAATGCAGTGCAGTAAAATGAATATTGTGGGGTGGAGGTACACGCACCTCACAATTGCATTTAGGTACAGAGCTGGAGTAAATGTCCTTTCCACCAGTAGAATACTAAGAAGAGTATTTTGAAGCGCAGCCAGGAGGGAGTTACTGTAGCCCAGACGAAGGATGACTAAATCTTGTTCATGGAGCCGAGCTGAGTCCCCAGACAATCCACAAAATCTGCAGAATCATTCAACACGAGCCCTGCTGGAGGGCTGAGTGTCTGGCTTCTCATGGACTGTTAGCAGAGTGAAGAAGAGTCACAATAACAGAACTGTGCTCTGAAGGATGAAGCAGAGGTGCTGCAGGTGGCTCAGTTATATTGCCTCAGCAGTATTTTAAAGTTCATCTGCAGACGAGAGTGACAGCACACAGGTTCAGAACAGTGAGCACCTGATGAAATAATGAAAGCCTGAAAACGTCCCCTGAGGGCGAGGACAGAACAGACAGATAATTCCTAATAAGTTCAAACAAGACTGGACTTGGAGTGACTTGGATTTGATTCTTGTTTTCCAGAAGGAGTCCCACATTTCTTACAGCGTGCCGAGCTGCAGAGATTTAAACGTTACGCTCGGTGTGTAAATTGTCAGAACTTCACATTTATCACTGCGAACATGAAGAATGTGTTGCGGTTTCCAACATTTCACGCCTGTCAGGTATTTAAAAGACATTATGAAGACTAATTGCATCAGTGGGTGTTGTAAAATGCTGCAGGACAAAAAGAAAAAAGACTCTTACCACTAAGACAAGAATCATGGGACCTTGGTAGATATAGTCTGTGTAGACGCCGGCTCGCTTCCCAAACCAGCACCTGAAACCAAAACAGGAGTCATGTTTACTTCTATCAGGCCGATGGATTCATTCTGTCACTCAATGGTTTATATAAAGAAAAAAAATCCCTCCAATTTCAGTAATTTGTGCTCAGGAGCTTCAACATGTGTTTACCAGCCTGTAATTTACCCAAAATATTAATTATAGAACGTTCAGGAAAGTTTTGGCAACAGGAGAGAAATTCTTTTAAATTCAAACTTCAGCTGAGAGACCACACTGTGGAAACATGTCATATTCATGATCAGGTTGTTTCCATTTGAAGTGACTTTAAACCTTATTGTCTTTAAACAATGAAGAGATGAGCCAGTATAAAAAGAGACTTGAGACTCAAGTAATGTCTCAATCTTGAAACAATAAAAGTCAGGCACTGAAAAGCAAGAAAAAAGAAAATATATTTTACCTAATACTTGTTGAAATATGAATTTGAATCATCAGCTTAAATATCTCACTGCCCTGTTGATTTATTCACTCGAAAGTCAATCAGAGGATGGTGTTCTGATTTTTCTTAAGCCCAGTTCAGACCAAAGAGACCAGGTCGTAGGTGGTAATCATAAGTGCTATATCGTAGACAACTGGACTTGCTTGAGTTTCTAGAGGCGTCTTCAGTTCAGAAGTGAAGACGCCTCTTGGAAGACACACAAAACTTCTTCAAGAAACTCAGGTCCAGTTGCTTACTGTACGTCACAGCACTTACAAACAACTGAATCAATGTGGGTGCGGTCTGCTTCCAAGTGGACTCTGATGCAGTTTGTTTCTGATGTGAAAGCAAACAAACCAACCACAGGATTTTTTGACAGCAGACATGATTTTAGCATCATCTCAAACCTAAACTAATAAATCCATCTGCTGACAGTGAAATCTGCTCCAGAGGGTTCAAGAGGGAACAACCAGTGTATGTAAAACAGTTGGTAACCGTGGTAACACATAAGCCTGAGTATTTTCTCTGATTAAAAAGCTGTTAAATCTGCTGTGCTTGTATCCGACTCTGTGTACATTGTTAGTTCATTAAGCTCATTAAAGCCTGTGTGACAGCGATCCCACGGTAATGAGCCGTGCATCATTACTGTCTCTGCCTGTTGCTCATTATTCATCACATGCAATCGATCTGCAGCCTAAAAATGCTAATAATGCTAATTATCAGTTATTTCTTCTTGAGTGCTTTGTGACACCAAATCAGAAATATCAAACTTATGTCACTGAGATTTAAGTTCCCCACTTTGGTCCTGATGATGCAGGTAATAATCGCCAAAACTGTCCAATCACCACGTTACCTGATCCGCCACGTTCACACCGTCTGTGGAAGCGCCCTAATATGTCATTTGATACACACATATGATATTGTCTTGCAGCCGCCTGGTTGTTCACATCATCTAATCACACATTGAGCTCTGTCTGTGTGTGTGTGTGTGTGTGTGTGTGTGTGTGTGTGTGTGTGTCTGTGTCTGTGTCTGTGTGTCTGCGTCCTCTTGTCTTTGTCACTCTATTTAGACACAACTGACAAATAAGTGGAAACATCTGATGCATATTCTATCATGCACAGTACAGGCCAAAAGTTTGGACACACCTTCTCATTCAATGCGTTTTCTTTATTTTCATGACTATTTACATTGTAGATTCTCACTGAAGGCATCAAAACTATGAATGAACACATGTGGAGTTATGTACTTAACAAAAAAAGGTGAAATAACTGAAAACATGTTTTATATTCTAGTTTCTTCAAAATAGCCACCCTTTGCTCTGATTACTGCTTTGCACACTCTTGGCATTCTCTCCATGAGCTTCAAGAGGTAGTCACCTGAAATGGTTTTCCAACAGTCTTGAAGGAGTTCCCAGAGGTGTTTAGCACTTGTTGGCCCCTTTGCCTTCACTCTGCGGTCCAGCTCACCCCAAACCATCTGGATTGGGTTCAGGTCCGGTGACTGTGGAGGCCAGGTCATCTGCCGCAGCACTCCATCACTCTCCTTCTTGGTCAAATAGCCCTTACACAGCCTGGAGGTGTGTTTGGGGTCATTGTCCTGTTGAAAAATAAATGATCGTCCAACTAAACGCAAACCGGATGGGATGGCATGTCGCTGCAGGATGCTGTGGTAGCCATGCTGGTTCAGTGTGCCTTCAATTTTGAATAAATCCCCAACAGTGTCACCAGCAAAACACCCCCACACCATCACACCTCCTCCTCCATGCTTCACAGTGGGAACCAGGCATGTGGAATCCATCCGTTCACCTTTTCTGCGTCTCACAAAGACACGGCGGTTGGAACCAAAGATCTCAAATTTGGACTCATCAGACCAAAGCACAGATTTCCACTGGTCTAATGTCCATTCCTTGTGTTTCTTGGCCCAAACAAATCTCTTCTGCTTGTTGCCTCTCCTTAGCAGTGGTTTCCTAGCAGCTATTTGACCATGAAGGCCTGATTGGCGCAGTCTCCTCTTAACAGTTGTTCTAGAGATGGGTCTGCTGCTAGAACTCTGTGTGGCATTCATCTGGTCTCTGATCTGAGCTGCTGTTAACTTGTGATTTCTGAGGCTGGTGACTCGGATGAACTTATCCTCAGAAGCAGAGGTGACTCTTGGTCTTCCTTTCCTGGGTCGGTCCTCATGTGTGCCAGTTTGGTTGTAGCGCTTGGTTTTTGCGACTCCACTTGGGGACACATTTAAAGTTTTTGCAATTTTCCGGACTGACTGACCTTCATTTCTTAAAGTAATGATGGCCACTGGTTTTTCTTTAGTTAGCTGATTGGTTCTTGCCATAATATGAATTTTAACAGTTGTCCAATAGGGCTGTCGGCTGTGTATTAACCTGACTTCTGCACAACACAACTGATGGTCCCAACCCCATTGATAAAGCAAGAAATTCCACTAATTAACCCTGATAAGGCACACCTGTGAAGTGGAAACCATTTCAGGTGACTACCTCTTGAAGCTCATGGAGAGAATGCCAAGAGTGTGCAAAGCAGTAATCAGAGCAAAGGGTGGCTATTTTGAAGAAACTAGAATATAAAACATGTTTTCAGTTATTTCATCTTTTTTTGTTAAGTACATAACTCCACATGTGTTCATTCATAGTTTTGATGCCTTCAGTGAGAATCTACAATGTAAATAGTCATGAAAATAAAGAAAACGCATTGAATGAGAAGGTGTGTCCAAACTTTTGGCCTGTACTGTATAATAATCAGATTATTTGTATAATATATAATATAACCTTTATGCCGTTTGTAATAAGAAAACTTCATCAATTATAAGTTCTGAAAGTGTATCAACATCTTTGTTGTAACGACATTTCTAAAAGCTGACAGATTAAAATGGAGGAGCTTTAATGAATTGTTTGTGTTGGCCTTGGTACGTACGTACGTGCCCGTGCTCGTGTAGATCGATGAGCTGATGGAATAGATGTAAACATGAACTGGCGTCGGAGTTTGTGTTGTATTGTGTATGTATTGTTGTATTGTGTGTGTGACATGGATGTTTTGTATTGTCACATGGAAACTGAGTAGACCCCCGGAAGAATAGCTGCTGCTCTGCATAAGCGAAATGGGACCTTAATAAACAAACAAACAAATAGATTATCACTGTGTTTTTTTGCCAGATTTGCTCGTGGCTCGTGGAAAATATGGACCAGATGCTGACACTATCACTGCAGATCGTGAGGCGCCTGCAGAGCTCTGGGCCGTGTCACATCCTGTGTGAACAGCTCAACTGAGTAACATGGGCGCCAAAAGCTTCACAAAAACACGGGCATGTGTTTCATGGTGCTTTCACTTGCAGTGAACTCGGGATAAGTCTGTATATAACTTTATGTTTAGTCCTCTTCGTCCAGTTGTAAAAAGTCACTGTGAACAGAGACTGAAGCAGAACTAAACCAACAATGTAGAATTCTGCGTTCACACTGAAAGCTTCAGTGCTCAGACCAGATTGTTTTTTGTTTGGCTGTTCACATCATTTTTTAGATGTGTCCAGTATCAGATTCCAGTGTGAACTGGTCTTAAACTCACGTGCATGTTCAGAAGAATTATAACAAAGATGTCACATGCAGCACGCTGTCGAGTTTACAGTTTCATTCATAGTTTCATGTGTAGTGGAAGCCAGCATTGTAAGCTGATAATAACAAGGATGAAGACGAGGATGAGGAGAAAGAGAGCCAAATTTGTAATTATGGCTTTTTGTGGCTGCTACTTTTATGCACAGTTGTGTGTGGTAGTTGAGTCACAGCCAGGAGCTGTGGGATCGTGACGTGAATCACTTCACTGAAACGGGTTTCAAACAACATTTCAGGACGTCACGGAGCTACTTGTAACTGCATCTGTCAGCGCCTCTTCACAAAAGTCTCGCGTTAAGACGCTCATTAAGACAAACCATCTGTGAGTGATGTCACAGTTGCATGAGTTCCAATAGGACTGTTCAGACTGAGGTCACACTGCAAAAAATCAGACCATGTCAGATCTAGGAACACATTTGAAAGTGGCTCGAATCAGGATAGAAAAGATTTCATGTGTTCTGTGCTGTTCACGCTGTTGTGAAAAACCTGACAATCATACATGAGCAAAAAAATCAGTTTTTGGCCACTTTAGCCTGCAGTCTGAACACAGCCTGTGACACAGAGGACCAAGATACATCACGCTGTGATACGCGCACAATACTAGTTAGCAGAAACATTGATCTCATCATTTATTGATCTCTCTTACAATAAGGTCACACGTGAGTCATGAAACGTTAAGAAGACATCTACATGTGTCCGAGCCGGACATCGGTAAAAATCTAATCACCTCAGCCACTAGTGTTTAAATCATAAGGGTTTATTTATTCATTTTAATGATGTTTTAATGATAAATGATATAAACATGCTTTGGTTTGTCTGAGAAACGTCTCAAACGTTCATCCCTCAGTCAGTCTGGAGTCAGAAACACAACAGCAGGCAACGTACACGTCCATACGATGACTTTACATATTTGGGTGATGAATATGTGGCTGCAAGTACGTAGATGCCAGTCAGAATATGGTCTGATAACAATTCCCCACCTCAGCTAGATTATAGACCTGACGTGAGATTTGTTTCATAAATGATAACTATTGCATTTTATCTTCTTTGTGTGGGACTTGTTGACAATAAGATAAATATATAACTGTGCTGCTCCTTTCATAATGCTCTGAAGGCTTTAATTAGATGTTTTCAGTGCATTGATAAAATGCTGGCTCCATTTCCACCTGTCTAAAAGGTACAAGAAAAGACCACTCTATATCAATCACGCACTAAGCACTCCGTGGCCACAGGGGTAATGTGTAATTAAGATTATTATACAATGCAAATGTGATTACAGCAGGTTATTAATAGACATTCATCTCCTTAATGCAATACAGTTTGACTTTGCCCATGTCCTTTGGTTAGCGGGCTCAGTTTCTGTGAATATCTCAGACGAGTCACAACAAAGGGCTTACTTCTCATTGTCGTAGTACAGCTTCCCGATCGCCCATGCCACAATGATAGGGAACGGTATACCTGTGAGGGGAAAAAGGAAAATGACTTCTTTCATCTTTCACTGCTACTCAGATCATAAAATATCACCCGGAGGGATTTCACGCTGCAATATGAAATCCTTGTCTTTTTTTCTTTCACCAGTGCCTGCCAAGCTCTGTCACATCCTATTGTTGCTTATGTGCTGTGATCCACAGATGCAAGCCAAGACGTGTCACCATCTGAGCGTTTCTTTGTGAATGAGTGAAAAGCTGGACTCTGCTTGATGATAATGCAGAGTGATCGTCTGATTTACTGACTTACAGTGAGTATAATAGAGCAGACGAGCAGCCATTACTTGACCATGAAGACCTTGCCAGCCGCCACATCACACATGTAGCCTCAGACTCACGTCTCTGGAAACGTTCCACTTGATTAGAAACATGCTGTCATCAGTGTTAATGTTAAAGCTAAAAGGAAAGTCTTCCTCACAGGCCCCAGATTATGTGAGAAGTCTCGTTTGTCTTGTTTGTATCTGTTGTCCGTCCCCCTCTGCTTTAATAATTCCTCTGCTCTTGAAGCCTGAGTGAAAGCGAAGTGAAGCAAATAAAATTTGATCTTATTTATGTTTTCACGCCAGTCCTGAAATGTGCTGCCATCTCCCCCTTCACACGGAGGCTTCACGCGGCCCCGGGGGAAAATGTAATCCAGATGGCACAATACACCTAATCTCAGCTGCACATAGTTGAGTTTGACAGTGTGAAACTGGGTGTTAGTGAACTCCACACCAATACGTTTCCCAGCTGTCACACCAAATCCTGGTATCTCCATCATGTCGACTGCTCCCATTGTTTGGTGAGTTTGTGTCTGACCTTCGGTTTGTTCTACTGAAGTAAAATGGACCCAAACTAACTGCAGTGAACCCGACAGTTAGACACTTTGAGACTGTTGCTGCTGAGAGTTTAATAAGAAAACTGATACTGTTCTCAGAGTGTTAACGATATTCTCATCAAGTCAGTTACTTTAGTTAGTTTGCATCAGACCTTTATTTCATTCTGTTGAGAAATGATCTGCAGTAACAGATTCGGCAGGCGACGGGACAAGATTTCGGTATCCAAAGTGTTTTGGTTTCAGTTAGTTGACCAGCAACATTTGATTGGCAGATAAACAGACTGTGTGGAGAGGTGGAACACGCTGGCTTAACTAAAGTCTCAGAACCCATTGGCTATTGTCCGACGGCGAGTTAGCTTTATATTTGCTTTTTTAAAACTGGTCTGCATTCATATGCAAATGTCTTCTTAAAGAGATTAGCTGAAATGACCGGCAGACAGAAGAGTTTGGATATCTGTTGGCTACACCCTGGCCCCCAGGAACTCCGCTCAGCCTTACTTACAGTTTTTCCCAGCAGCCACTTGCGGTGTTGAAGAAAAAAAAAAACATCCCAAAGATCATTTCCCCACAGACCACTGTTATAAAACAGACACGTCAGTAAAGCTGTTGACAGGACACTTTAAACTGCAAACAAAGTCAATTGTGACTCCTACTGTTTGGAATTTTTGATCCATGGAGGTTTAATATTTATAAAATGTTCCTCGAGCCGAGGACTGCGATTTAAAAATCTGTGATATCATAAAAATCTATAGTCTATGAGCAGGGGGAACTTGTGGGCGGAGCCAGCAGAGAAACACTACGGCATATAGAGACAGAGCGCAACGCATCATAATCTGAAAGCCACGCCCCCAAAGGGGAAAGAGGCCCGCTTTCCCCTCGCACTTTGCCCCAGCCTGTTGAGTCCAAATGCCGAAAAGTTGCTGTGTGGTGGGCTGCACGGCCAATAAAAACCCAGAGCTTAGCTTTTATCAGCTGCCGCACAGAAAAACGGAACCTTATAGAAGACTAAAGTGGATACAGGCAATAAAACGTGAGGCTTCAACAGGGAAGAAACTGTGGGATCCTGACACTCGGTATGTCTATGTGTGCAGCTAACACTTTGTCAAACCCTCCAAATGTATTTGTTAGAGTAACAGTTAACTGTATTTATGTACAGTACAGGCCAAAAGTTTGGACACACCTTCTCATTCAATGCGTTTTCTTTATTTTCATGACTATTTACATTGTAGATTCTCACTGAAGGCATCAAAACTATGAATGAACACATGTGGAGTTATGTACTTAACAAAAAAAGTTGAAATAACTGAAAACATGTTTTATATTCTAGTTTCTTCAAAATAGCCACCCTTTGCTCTGATTACTGCTTTGCACACTCTTGGCATTCTCTCCATGAGCTTCAAGAGGTAGTCACCTGAAATGGTTTTCCAACAGTCTTGAAGGAGTTCCCAGAGGTGTTTAGCACTTGTTGGCCCCTTTGCCTTCACTCTGCGGTCCAGCTCACCCCAAACCATCTGGATTGGGTTCAGGTCCGGTGACTGTGGAGGCCAGGTCATCTGCCGCAGCACTCCATCACTCTCCTTCTTGGTCAAATAGCCCTTACACAGCCTGGAGGTGTGTTTGGGGTCATTGTCCTGTTGAAAAATAAATGATGGTCCAACTAAACGCAAACCGGATGGGATGGCATGTCGCTGCAGGATGCTGTGGTAGCCATGCTGGTTCAGTGTGCCTTCAATTTTGAATAAATCCCCAACAGTGTCACCAGCAAAACACCCCCACACCATCACACCTCCTCCTCCATGCTTCACAGTGGGAACCAGGCATGTGGAATCCATCCGTTCACCTTTTCTGCGTCTCACAAAGACACGGCGGTTGGAACCAAAGATCTCAAATTTGGACTCATCAGACCAAAGCACAGATTTCCACTGGTCTAATGTCCATTCCTTGTGTTTCTTGGCCCAAACAAATCTCTTCTGCTTGTTGCCTCTCCTTAGCAGTGGTTTCCTAGCAGCTATTTGACCATGAAGGCCTGATTGGCGCAGTCTCCTCTTAACAGTTGTTCTAGAGATGGGTCTGCTGCTAGAACTCTGTGTGGCATTCATCTGGTCTCTGATCTGAGCTGCTGTTAACTTGCCATTTCTGAGGCTGGTGACTCGGATGAACTTATCCTCAGAAGCAGAGGTGACTCTTGGTCTTCCTTTCCTGGGTCGGTCCTCATGTGTGTCAGTTTCGTTGTAGCGCTTGATGGTTTTTGCGACTCCACTTGGGGACACATTTAAAGTTTTTGCAATTTTCCGGACTGACTGACCTTCATTTCTTAAAGTAATGATGGCCACTGGTTTTTCTTTAGTTAGCTGATTGGTTCTTGCCATAATATGAATTTTAACAGTTGTCCAATAGGGCTGTCGGCTGTGTATTAACCTGACTTCTGCACAACACAACTGATGGTCCCAACCCCATTGATAAAGCAAGAAATTCCACTAATTAACCCTGATAAGGCACACCTGTGAAGTGGAAACCATTTCAGGTGACTACCTCTTGAAGCTCATGGAGAGAATGCCAAGAGTGTGCAAAGCAGTAATCAGAGCAAAGGGTGGCTATTTTGAAGAAACTAGAATATAAAACATGTTTTCAGTTATTTCAGCTTTTTTTGTTAAGTACATAACTCCACATGTGTTCATTCATAGTTTTGATGCCTTCAGTGAGAATCTACAATGTAAATAGTCATGAAAATAAAGAAAACGCATTGAATGAGAAGGTGTGTCCAAACTTTTGGCCTGTACTGTATGTTAAGCTAAAGCATTGACAGTATGAATGCAACTTCTGTTATAATTGAGCCCAGCGCTCCACGATTCAAGCAGTCCATTCCAGCGGTCCGCTCTAGCACTTGTATCAATCTACCAGCAACAATGTGTGCTGATAGCAGGAGCAGGCTGACGGCTGCTGAGCGTATCCAAATGCTCATCTTCTTAAAGAAGAATCTCCACATCATGTTTTTTCCAAGACGAGCAAGGTAAGGAGAAGGGACACTGAGGTAGACCGGCAATATTAAAGGGAAATTTCGGTTTATTTCAACCTGTCTCCTATCGTCCTAAATTTGTTTCAAGTGACTAGTGACATAAAAATAATAGTTAGCATGTTAGCCGTTAGCCTAGATACAGCCGGGGCGCATAGTAGCATCAGACCTATTAAAACGTAAGTGAACGGGCAACCTTCAAGTGCAAAGTTAGTCCACATATAGAAAACGACATGTAAACGTGTTGTCTTACCTTACCGGTGTGCTGCCATGTTTGTTTACCATCTAGCTCTGCTTTCCAAAGTGCAGCCGAAATATCGCGAGAACAAGCAGCGATCTCATAGCGTGCCTGAACAAGCAGCAACAGCTGGAAGGATACACTGACGAAGAGCTTCGTGAAATTGAAGAACGGAGGAGGAGAGAGAGAGAGGCGCAACAGGTAGAGGACGAGAGAGGAGGAATGGCTGCTGCAAGGCTGCATAGCTCTGGAGATTGGTGGTGTACCTGTGAATGCTGTGCCCCAGTGCCCACAGAAGAGGAATGCCTCTGTTGCAAGGAATGGGACCGGTTGCAGCCTTATTTTCAAGGTCTGGATGTGACCGAGGACGAGACACCTCCACCTGGAGTAGTATCCAGCTGGGCTTTATCTAGAGCTCGCCAGATATATTTCGGCCGCGCTTTGGAAAGCAGAGCTAAATGGTAAACAAACATGGCAGCACACCGGTAAGGTAAGACAACACGTTTACATGTCGTTTTCTATATGTTCTCTGACATTTATCCTAAAGAATATGAGGCGGTCTTTGTGGAAAAAAAGCTTGTTTAGTGGACTAACTTTGCACTTGAAGGTTGCCAGTTCACTTACGTTTTAACAGGTCTGACGCTACTATGCGGCCCGGCTGTATCTAGGCTAACTGCTAACATGCTAACTATTATTTTTCGTCACTAGTCACTTGAAACAAATTTAGGACGATAGGAGACAGGTTGAAATAAACCGAAATTTCCCTTTAAGCTTAGCAATATACCGTTGCCTCTCTGGTAGGGTTAGCATGCTAAAATAATCCTTTGCCATCTTATTATTAGCTAATTATTTGCAAGCTATAACTAATAATTTTAGCTAGCTAGCTAGCTAGCAATTCAAACGTGGAGACTTGAAGGCGCGGCTGCAGAGGCAGAATGACAGCGAACGAGCGAAGAAGTGGAGGGGAAAGTGCGCCTTGTTTCCCCTTTGGGGGCGTGGCTTTCAGATTAGGGCGTGTTGCGCTCTGTCTCTATAGTCAGCAGGCATATTCACACACAGTGGCCCACTAAATATCATTTTGAAACCTGGAAGCTAGAAACCTTTCTGCTACGTGTGCCAGATGAGATGTTCCATTGAATGAAGAGGCACAATCTTGGGGTCCATTATCTAGCTATCGTATCTGTGTCTACCAGGATCAACCAGAAGTATTGGCCTTAGCTCCTGGAGGCTGTCAGTCAGTTATAAATTAAGTAGAGAATAAATTTACTCCAAACAACTGGAGTTTTCAAACTGACAGTTCAACATTTGAAAATACACTTATTTAGCTCATATAAAGATCAGAACATTGATACCACTCTCACGTCTGTACGCTACGTACTGAGCTAGAGGCATGAGGGGATTAGCTTAGCTTAGCTTAGCTTAGCATAAAGCCAGCTAGCCTGGCACATAAAAATTTATTTTGTCCCTTTTACATTTCTGTTTGTGAGTGGCTGAAACAAACAATATATAATGTGCTAATAACTGAGCTTTAGAGGTGCTGGTAGATGTGTTTTTAATGTTGGACAGAGCCTGGTTAGCTGTTTCCCTGTTTCCAGTCTTTATGCTAAGCTAAGCTAACTGCCCCCTGACTCTAGCTCCATACTTAATGTAAAGACACAAGAGTGGTATCAACATTCTCACAAAGTCAGTTGCTCTGTTTGTAAGATCAAAATCAAAAAAATCAAGTTGAGACTGAGACTGGGACATTAATAGTTAAACATCTGAGACAATTGATACCACTCTCATGTCCATATGCTAATTATTCAACTACAGCTGGGAGGTGATTAGCATAGCTTAGCATAAAGATGGGGGGAAACAGCTAGCCTGGAACACAACTCATTTTGTCCCTTTCTGTTTACGTACAGATTAAACAAACAATATCTAATATGTCACTGAGCTTTAGACGTGCTGGTAGATGTATCTTTGAGCTTTGGACAGAGGCGGGCTAGCTGTTACCCCCTGCTTCCATTCTTTATGCTAAGCTAAGCTAATCTTCCCTGTTCCATACTAGTTCCCGTTAAGTCTTTATATTTCTTGGTTTTCTCAAACAGCTGTAGTGATGCTAATCGTGCAGCAGTGAGTGTACGTACACCAGCCAATGCAGATGAACATCCACTTGCGCAGCTTGTCGGTGGAGTAGGTGAGGACGATGGCGGTGTGGAGGTAGCAGCCCTCGCCAAACATCCAGAAGAAGTTGGTGGAGTGGAAATAGTTGAAGGAGGCGGTGACCAGACGGCACCAAATCTAGAAAATCAAATGTTCAGTTTAACAGTTACTGTTATAAAGAAACACTTCTACATGTTTGCTCGTCGTATGCCGAGGGTTATTTAAAGGAGGTGAACTCATGCAGGAGATTTTGGATCTGCACCAGCAGAGTAAACAGACCTGTAGAGTCTGTGCCGAGGAGAATTCAAACTCTCCAGGTGCTTCATGGCAACTCAACATCTCACGTAATAAACACGTGAAACCTTATTCATGTGCTGTTATTCATGTGCCGTTTCCTGATTGGCTAATCTTGACTTGTGTGCCCTTCCAGAATAGTTTGTATTCATTCGTTTCTGCTTCAAATGCTTTTGTGTTTATTTCCTGAGTGCTGAGTGTTTGCAGCAAATTTGCACCGCACCTATTATTTGACGCTAATGAATGCAGCAGCTGTTTTTGAAGCACGAAACATCCTTGAAGCCACCAACAAAGAAGAGTTCTTCACCTCATTGAACAGAAGTCAGCTAGTGCGTATTCAAATGTGTTTTGGTGAAACATTTCTTTCATTAAAGGATAATTATTTTTAGCTGGCTGACAGGAAGTCAGAGGTGTGTGTGCAGGATGTCATGATCGATGAATAAGGCTGGTGTTATTCTGTATTTTCCTTATTGTCAGTAAATCTCATGTGTCAGTCCGTCCAAATAGTTCAAGTCCATCAAAGATGACGCGATACGTACCACGTTACTTTCGTGGACCTCTGGACTCATGGTCATTTGGACGATAAACCAGGTGGCGTTCCTCAGGATGAAGGCGGTGATGAGGTTCCAGTGGATGATGTTTCTCAGGCAGCGGATGCTCCTGTGAGACGAAAAGAGGACAATCAACTGATGCTTCTGCTTCTTTTTCAACACTTCCCCTGCGGTGTCCATGAAAAGAGCTCCATGTCCTACTAGGAGGAAAGATGACGAGGCAAACGTGACCAGACTGATGGAAAAACTGCTTTTGTCATGTTTTTTTAAACAGAAACATTAAATAACAGTGTGCAAGGTTCAGGGGAATTAAGTGGCATCAAGTGGTGAGGACTGCAGATTGCAACCAGCTGAAACTTCTCCTAGTTAGAATTCCTTCAGTCTTGTGCTCATTCTATTTCTGATCCAGACGTTCAGGAGGATTTTACTGTGAGCAGAATTATCTGCAGAGGTCTCGTCTTAAACAAACAGAGCGTTTGATTAAAACCAGTAGAAACACTGAATAAAGCAGTTTAACGTTGTAAATCAGAGATTCTCGACGCTGTTTGGCATGTACGAGACAGGTCACTGGCCCGCCACCTGCTAATGTGTGCTCACCTGTTTTCTCTGATGACCTCAGATCTAGATGTTCAGGAGGATTTTACTGAGAGTCGAATTATCCACAGAGGTCTCTTCTTCTCCAAAAGGAATGGACCTGACCCGGTGATTTAAACCGATAGGAACACTGAATAAAACAGTTTCATGTAAAAAATATGAATAAATAAGTCAGTATTTTTTTCATCACTCTTGTCGCAGATGGCTGCTAACTACAGTGGGCGATGCAAATGCCAATGTCCCTATCTAAAGACAGTGTTTGGTTTGTCCGTTCTGGGCTACTGTAGAAACATGGTGATGCAACATGGTGATCTCATGGTGAAGAGGGTCTGCTCCCTGTGTACACAAAAGCATGGAGGTATTTTTGTGTCTTTTTGTTGCAATCATATAAAACTGTTTTGAGAGCATATTTCTTGAACTGCAATCAAAAATCAAGTTTGTAAGTAAAAACGTTTTGCTTATAAATCAGTCCTCTCTGCTTGTGAGTTAAAGGTTTTCTTGCAAGTTCAACTGCACTTAATGGGCGGGGCCTACGCTGATGAATGAGAGAAGAGTTTCTATTGGTGGGTTTGACCTGGCTCCATACAGAGCGGGCTACACCCACGATTCCCTCTCTCCCACTGGAAACGCTCGACAGTCGGCCGTTACGCCGTCGAATAGTTCTACCCTGGCTAAACAAAAGCACTCTGCATGCACCAGTTCAAATAAAACATTCTTGCTATTATTGATTTTCGCCACAGCTCCCGCACTGAATTCCCCGTGAACTACAGAACTCCCATGTTGCTTTGCAAGCGTACTATCCTGATGTGTAGCATTTAAGAAGCAGGCTAAATGACATGATGTTGCACACTCTTGTACAGTAGGTGGCAGTATGCACCTTTAAATTGTTTGCAATCCGCCAATAAACCGAGAGAAGAAGAAAACAGAAATGCTTTGCAAGCTGTCATTCCGATTGAGACTGGCCAATAGAGACGTGTCTTACAGCTTTCAGTTTAGGCCCCGCCCACCAGGTTCAACTTTATACTCATAAAACTTTTTGACTTGCAAACGGAAAAAATGACTCGCAAACAAAACTTTAGGGTTTGCATTTTTTAATCAATTATTTTTTACTTGCAATATTGATTCTTCTGCTCTCAAATCTTTTTTTTTTTTTTGATCGCAAAACCTCCTCTGTTTGATTGAATAATAAAGAAACAAATGTTGCTCCATACAAACACAGTAACTCTTTTTTTGGGCGGTTTTACACTATAGAAAACTTACGTATTCACTGCTGCCAAAATATCGCCCTAAATCCTACACGCTGGACCTTTAAAGTCCAGTTAAAAATAAAACATACCCAAACTGACTGGAGTGAAATGAACTGCTCAACATTTTGGAAAATACAATTACTCTCGCTCTTGCAGAGAGTCTAATGAGAAACCTCGCACATGTACTCAGCGAGGTCCAGAGGGTGATTAGCTTAGCTTAGCATTAAGACAGGAAGCAGGTGTAAACAGCTAGCCAGGCACATAAAACCAAATTTTGTCCCTTTTACATTTTTGTTCATGTACGAATTAAACAAACAAAACATATGACATGTTATTTAATGAGCTTTAGGGGTGGTGGCAGGTTTTATCTTTGGATGGGCATTATGCTAAGCTAAGCTAAGCTAAGCACATCCTGGCTCTAGTTTCATCTACACAGACATGAGAGCAGTAAAGATATTCTCATTGTCTCAAACATCTGAATTAATCATCTCTTCCTACAGAGTTTGTGTGTTTTCATGTATTTTAAACAAAGACATGAAACTCAGCGTATTCAGCCATTCATCCAGAGTGATATAACCCTGAAAGTAATCTCAGGAAAACGGAGAATGAAGATGATGAACATGAATAATGAAGAGATGTAGCCTCAAAGTAACATGTCCCGTTCCTCCCCAGTGCCCCTCACCACTAATATAACATGAAGCAACAATTCATTCCACTGTTTGCACTCTTGTTTGTGTCATGCCCCCAACGTCTGATGTTTTTTTAATGCTGTAAATAAATCGACCCGAGGATACAATTAAAAAATCTGCCTCGGAGAGAGCGGTCGAAAAATAGAAGCACACAACTGAACGGACAGAACAAACCAGCCTCGGTCAGGGCGGTGACAGCCTCGTTTGTTGTCACCAGCTGACGGCATTAACAGCCAGCGAACGGCTGCCTCCTCCTCCTCCTCTTCCTCCTCCTTCAGCCAAACCATGAATCACACGATTTATTTTTTAACATGCATCAATTCTTAATAGGTGTCACTTGCACTGGCTTTGTGCTGACTGAGCAGACGTGCATGAGCAAGATTTTTCCACTGACTCTGGGCCTTTTTACCTTTTATTAAGCATGGAGCTCTTAAAGGAAACAGCCTCATTAACACAACAACACGCAGAGACATGCTGCTGCAGTGTTCATAATTATAATATCACACAGGAGTAAAAAGAAAAGCAGCCTTACGGGTACAAAAACATATAAATGTATGTCTTATACATCTTAATGTGCCACAAACGAGCAGCTAATTTCCCCTCACTGTATCACAGTGTTACTGGAGCTGCCATTAGTATTATAAAGGACTGTCATGCCAGAAGCGTTTTTTCCAAACAGTCGTATTCATTACGCCGTGTGACCTCACTTCCTTTGGCATCCTGCCAGCGGGGTCAGCTCGGCCTGATGGGTATTAATTAAGAGGAAACACTCCTGCAGACAAGCCTTTGACAAAGACACGGAGAAATAAATAGAATATACAGCTGTTCTTATCCTCTGTCGCTGATAATTGTTCGGCTGTTTCTTCTTCTAGCAGCTGCAGTATATTAACACTAACAAAGCTATATTGAATTTTACATTCTTTTATATCACTAACATCTAAGTGAGAGAGTGAGTTTAGTGTGGCTGCACCTTGTCTGTGGGATGCTCTTCCTCAAGGTCTGCTCATCCTTTTATAAAAGCGCTTCCTGGTGTCTCATAATATGTTTTATGAATATGTTCTTTTATCTGTACATGAATTTCATCACTGCTTTTGTTGCTCTTTATCATTGCTTATTATTAACTTCTGGGTGTTCGTGTCCTTGGCTGTTTCGAAATTTGCTTATGAATGGTGATACTGCGCTGCTGCTACAGTTGTGCAATACTCCTGTATAGTGTGCGTGTCACCTTTATGATTTAAAATATTATAATGCATATTGTTTTCATTATAAGACAAGACAAGATAAAAGATTTCATTGAGACCTGAGGGGAGACTCTCAGTGACAGGATAAAAGCTCAGAAAAGATAAAGAACAATTTAAATAAAATGAATAAAACATCAAGTAATTAAAATAAAGTAAATTAAGAAGCCTCATGCCATACATTAAAGACATTAACATAACTTATATTTATACAAAAGAAGTCCAGTAGTGCACCTCTGGCTGCCATTAAGTACACATACATTTACAAATGTTGTTCAAGAAGGAGAAAACCTGCAGCTACCAGAACACACTGCTCCGCACCGGACCAGTAAATGCTCCCGCTGGTGGTTAACGTAACGTGTCTGAAACACTGGTGGCCAGCTGGTAAGAAACAGCCTCGATCTCTTACAGTTAAACGGCGAGCCAAATGTGTTTCTGAGGTGATAAATAGGCAAGTCAGTGATAGGATCTTGGTTTATATTTGATCAGCGCTGCTCAGTTCTACCGCTCGATCTCAGTGTTTTCGGTGTTTTCACGTCCTGTTCACAAACTCTCACAAGTAAAGCTAAACAGGGCACTAAAATACGTTTTTTAAAAACATTTTAGGCAGGAAGAGCAATAACTTAATCTTAATATCTAGCACCTAGTTTTACCCTTTGATCGGATTTTGGTCTGAGTGTAAGAGAGGGGGGGGCGAGTCTGCTTCTCAATCTGCTTCTGCACTGTTGTCTTTGTGGTGGCAGCATGGATGGCGGGTAATACAAAAACGTGGAAGTACAGCCTCTAGTTTGAGCAACAACCAGCGTAACTCTGCTGGATGACGTGTTGTGCATCAGTTAGACTGACTGTTCATGCGGTTGTATGTGTGAGTGTCTCCATTCATGAATGCTTATTAAAACTCAAGAAAGACAGCCGACGTGTGAAGACTTTCTTTAAACTGTTCATTAAATAGTAGTTTTGCCACCACACATCATCTGGCAACGTTTCGCACTGTCACGATATGAAGCGGGCTGAAAACTGGTGGTGTGTCCCTTTGAGTGGTAACACAGTGAGAAAAATCAAATCATGTAAATAAATCAGAAATTCTGATGCACAGAGCTGCATCTCTAATCGTTTTATAATCACTCTGAATCAGAATCAAATTGACTTACGAGTTGCCTACAGATGGGCGGCACGGTGGTGTGGTGGTTAGCACTGTCGCCTCACAGCAAGAGGATTGCTGGTTTGATCCCAGGTGTGGGAGCCCTTCTGTGCAGAGTTTGCATGTTCTCCCCATGTCAGCGTGGGTTTTCTCCGGCTTCCTCCCACCACTAGTGTATAGTGATGGGATTTCTCGTTCACTTTGAAGAGCTGGTTCAAAGATGCGGTTCGTTTGTTCATTTTTTTATTTATTTTTTTGCTGTGTGTGTTCGTGAGTTCAACAACAAATCACATTGCTAATTTATCACATCACGTGATCTGGATATTGTAACATGGACCCAGAATAGACTCCGCAGATATAAAGTTTGGTGTAGCCATAGCAACGCGCTTTATAAACAACAAGTAGTGATGTGACGTTTGCAAACGAGCCGAGTCTTTAAACCGGCTCTTTGAAGTGAACGGGTGAGTGGCTGCTGTCTTTCTCCCTCACAAACTAGTCTCTCTCAACTTGTTCCGGATCAAATAATCTGAAATGAATGGATACAGAGTCAATTAACGCAAAAAACAAAGAATTTAGGAACTGGCTCGTTCACTTCAAATAGCCGGTTCAAAGACTCGGCTCGTTCACGTACGTCACATCACTACTAGTGTATCATTTTATATATAATATTCTGTGTGTGCAGTATACGTAATATACACAAACTATATAGGAAAAGATACAATACATTGTAGTATATATATTTAAGATAGAAGAGAATACTATACTCTTCTATACTATACTCATTATCATTCATTTTTAAACTGATACACCTTCGTATAATTGTGTTATATGCACATCATGTCTAAAAGATTGACTCAGTAATATATCCTCATTGTTTGAAGCTATAGTGTAATTTCTTATTTTATTTTCTAATGACTTTGTTTAAATAGCTCTTAACTCGTTTTCTTACCTCTTAGCCATGTTGACTGTATGTCAGAGGAAAAGCATTTGAGTTTGTTTTTTATCTGCCTGTAAAATATTTTCGATGACTCATGTTTCTCTCCCCCCTCCCATCATATAAATCTGTCTTCGTTAGTGTGGAGGTCGGTGCAGCAGCAGCGATATCGCGGGGTCAGAGGTGTGTTTGAGTATCCTCCGCCAAAAAAATCTTGTTTATATTTTCAAAGACCGGCTGTGGTCTAATTTATTAATGCCTTCCTCTTCCTGGTCTGCCAACACAGGTGAAGGAGGTGTGTGTGTGAAGGTGAGCAGGTCGCTCTCGTGCTCGTTACATCAGACCCCTGAACAATTTGATTAATTTCCTCTTGAAGTTGGAGCCTGGCTGCAGATGGAGTTTCAAAGAGACGAAGATAATTCCAGCTTGCAGGGTAAAGAGTAAAGAACATGTCTCATTTAGTTTCATGCATATTAAGTGTTAGGTGACTGACAGTTGAAGCACTCCTGGACATCCCACACAAACTCCTCTGGTTGAGTCATCAGAACAAAAGAAGCTCTGTGAGAAAATATCTGGTTTGTAGCTACTGATGGTGCAGTTGGCTTGTTTTTCTTAAGTTAGGCGCGTCGACGCACATCAGCAAACTGTCACATCCCGACGGCACCGACTCAAAAGCCGTCAGTTCAGCAGGTTCAGTCTGCGAAAGTCCCGCATCATCAGTGTTTATGAGGTTTATAATAACAGCTCATATAAAACCACGTCTGCAACAGAGGAAATGCAACATCAACCTTTCAGAGAGCCTTTAACCAGGAGGCAACATGCTGTGTGTATAAAGGCTGCACCATGTCAGGAGAATATGTGATATTTGATAACGCTGTTTAATACTGTGATGAGATAAATAAACAGATATGAAAGTGTGCTCACTTCTGCTTTTCTGTTGCTTTCATTTACCTCTAAAACACAAACAATTGTTAAATCAAAGGAGCAGTGTGTAAGTGGTGTTTAGTGGCATCTAGCATCTCCTGGTTAGAATTCCTCCAGTGTTCATTTTTCAGGACGGTTTTACAAAAAAAAAAAAAAAAAATCAAAAATAATCAGCAGATAAGAGATCTCTTCCTCTCCACAACAAACAGACCAGGGGTCTCATTTATAAACACTGCATTCGCACAAAACGAGGCCCTGACCGCCTCTCTGGGCACTGAGCTCATGTGTGTGCATTTGCATGAGACCGTGAGACATGGGCACCGCCTTCATGTGTGTTCACGTGCTTTCTTTGGTCAGAGCTACAGGCTACAATGAGGCTAAAAACAGAGTTCAAATGAGGTTTTTCCAAACAACTTTTTATGTCGGGGCTTCAGGACACTTGGATCACTACGGACGAGCAGTATGGAGATATTTTGTGGTTTCAATGATGTGTTTTTGGACGTTTGAATCTGGGGCGCCGTCAGCCTCCATTAGGTGGAGTTGTGTTGCTACCTCCTCTCCCCTTGGATCTCTGCAAGTGATGTGAGGACTCTAAAACTTCACCTGAGCCTCCCTCGGCATATGGGTGAGTAGATAATGGCTGAATTTTCATTTTTGCGTGCACTGTCCCTTTAAGACTTTAGGATAAACAAACACTCCTGAAACTTTGCACAGTTCAGTCCGATCACCTGATCGTTTTATCTCAATACTTCATCCATGTTTCTGATTATATCGATTGTAACATGGAGGTTAACAACACTCCTCCTCTGCTCGTAGCTGGGTGTGTATATCTTCTTACTTTTGTTTGTGGTACTCCACTACACTTAGTCCAATGAACTAACAGCAAGTATGTAAACAAGTATGAGCTTAAACAGAGGAGCGTCTGTCCTGCAGAGGTTTGACATTTGAAAACTGGGGCCAATCATAATGCAGGACATCGTCTCAACATGTAGGACGCGGGACAAGGGACATATATGCTGTGCAGTCCTGCATACACGTGACTGAACACACCCAGCTGAGCTGACGGATGCTACGCCAAAGATTTGTTTATATGACAAAACATTCAAAAGTTTAAATGATTTCAACTTCCGGATGAGTTTTGGAGGAATTTAAATAAACTGTGCAGACAGCTGACGGCTGTCGTCGTATTTAGAGCCATCAAGCAGACCAAAGTGGGGCAGCAGTGGATCAGCAGGCACAGGCACTCATTCACTCATTTCAGGATTCGATCCCTGACTCCTCACGTCAAAGTGTCTTTTGCACAAAACTGAACGGCTCCTTCGTTATTGTTCATTTATTCTATTTATGTTTCTTGACCGTTGCAGGACTTGCTTTGATCTTTTAATGGCTCTTAATGTGTTTACTGTTGTGCACCAACATATATAACAAAATCCATGGTAATACACCTGATTGTGGTGCATGGTAGAACGTCAGATGAAAGCAGATACAAATGCAGTTAATTTCCATTTTAATTCCTTTAAGCTATCTGAGTGAGAAACCTACAGACCTGAACATAACCCTCTAGCAGTGTTAACCTTTCCAGGACAGTCTTGTGTTTCTGAACTCAGAGCCATTTCTATTCTGTCTCACTGTCACCGTACACAAGCTTAAAATGCTCCAGCTGCCATTTCACTGTTTTTGAGGATGAACTTTTCAACGGCCTTGAAAATCCAGCTCTTCTCTGCGCTGTAATCCTTTCCCCTCTCTGCCTCCGGTTCTGCAACACTGAGCAGCAGTGTCAACCTTTCTCTCCATCACAGTGGCAGCGGAAACCTTCCCCTAAATGGTTCTCAATCTCATTAAAAAGTGAAGAAGGTGAGTAATAAATGCCAAACTCCTTCACTACCCTGATGCCATTTTTAGCTGGCCGACACTTGTCCTTCCTCCCTCCCCCTCCCCCTCTCCCTCCCCGTCCGAGCCCCACAGACATGGGTTGTGCATAAACGCTGTCCTGTAGAGCTTCTATTTATTATGTCTCTCTGTGGCCTTTCATGCTTTTCTCACCCCCCGGGGGTGCCTCTGGGATCGATAACAGTCCTGGCTGTTGAGGGTGCTAAGACCTTTCTGTCGTTAACGCTCGGTTTATTTCAGTTTGCCAGAGAAACCCACTCCACCTCCACCGCTCGTCCCAGCAGGCCTCCACAACACTGCTTCCTCTCTGAGATGGGTCTATTATTCCCATTCGAGGGGGAAATGTGCCCTAGTTTTTGCGGGCGTCTAAACCCCTTTACATCCATGGGATTGAGATAGGGAAGGTTTCATCCCATGACCAAATGGTTTTTGAATAAGAACGAGAGGCGCTTTGAAACGAGGGATCTCGAGGATGCTGACGTTTCTGTCACATCAAGGAGGTCTTTAGGATTATCAGCGGACTGGTGGCAGTGGGACCAACACTTACCTCAAACACAAGAAGAGGAAGAAGGCTACGAGCAGAGCCACCATGGAGATGCAGTGACCCAGGAAGTTTATGATCACAGCTATTTGGTAGTGCATCTTGCCTTTTTTCTGCAGGGAGAGAGAGAGAGAGAGAGAGAGAAAGAAACGGAGGATGAGCCCTTCTGATTTACAGAAACAATATTCTCAGAATAATAAAGGAAAATCCTCTTTGGTCTACTTCTCTTTTTTTAGAGCCGACTCCTGCAGTGGTTGTGAACAGAGGCGGCTTTAGAAACTTTTAAAATAAAACATGAGAGGAAATGTGTTAAGACTCACTGGGGAGCTTCTTGGCAGCAATAAAATGTACATTACTAATAGCTGCGCTGTTTATTCAGAATAGGAAGTCAATTCAATTTCTTAATAACATCAATAAATAGAAACTATTTGTAACTCCAAACACCCACAGCCAGAGCAGGGACAGATTGCAAGGAAGATGACGTCTGTACAAACATGTTAATGTCCTCCGACCCTCCAACACAGCAGACGTTTTACTCATTTTGTCTCTTTGTATTTGATTTTTTGTGTCTTTGTGGTCATTTCTTTGTTTCTTTGTACTCGTTCTGTGTCCTTGTGCTTGATTTGTATCTCTGTACGGTCATTTTATTTTTTGGGGGGTCGGTTAACACTAACTCTTTGTGGTTGCTGTTTGTCTCTTTTCTATCTGTGGTCATTTTTTGTTTCTTTAAACTTGTTTTGTGTCGGGGGTTTTTTGGTCTCTTTGAGGTCAGTTTGAATGTGTGTGATTGCTTTGTATCTACTGGTGATGAATTCTGCATCTTTCTGTGGTTGATTCTAGTCTCTTTGTATTAATTTCCTGTCTCTTTGTATTTGTTTGTTGTCTCTGTGGTTGTTTTATGTATTTTTTTCTTTGTACTTTTGTATGTTTGATGTTGATATTTGTGTCTTTGTGGTAGTTTTGTATTTCTTTGTGGTCATTTTGCACCTTTTTGTGGAAGATTTTTAGCTGTGTGTGGTCATATGGTGTCAATATGTGGTCATTTTTCATCCATTTGTGATCCTCTGACATGTCTCTGTGGTCATTTTTTCTCCTTTCTGTGTTGATTTCAGTCTCATTTTTGTTTCTTTGTACTTGTTCTGTATCCTTGTGCTTGATTTTTGTCTCCTTGTTGTCAGTTTCCATGTCTTTGAGGTTGTTTTGTATATGTGTGGTCATTTTAAACGTTTTGTGGTTGCTGTTTGTTTCTCACAGGCTGGAGTCGAACCCAGGCCGCTGCGGCAACAGCCTTGTACATGGGGCGCCTGCTCTATCCACTAAGCCACCGACGCCCCCTCTGTTGTTGTTTTACATATTTTGTCTTTGTACTTTTGTATGTTTGATGTTGATATTTGTGTCTTTGTGGTAGTTTTGCACCTTTTTGTGGATGATTTTTTTTTGTCTCTTTGCAGTTATTTTTTGTCAATTTGTGGTCACATGGTATCAATTTGTGGTCATTTTTCATCCATTTGAAGTCATCTGACATGTCTGTGGTCATTTTTGTTTCTTCATGGTCGGTTCACATTTCTTTGCCATTGATTTTTGTCACTGCGTGGTCATTTTGCTCCTTTCTGTAGTTGATTTCGGCCTCTTTGCAGTTGATTTTTGTCTGTGTGGTTGTTTTTTGTTTTTTTGTACTGGTTTTGTCTCTTTGCAGTTGATTTTTGTCTCTGTGATCAGTTAATATCTCCTCGTGGTTGTTTTGTATCTATTTGTGGTGGCTGTGTATCACTCTGTTGATCTTCGTACAGGAAACATCAGCAGTCACACAGAGGTTGTGCTCCCAGAGTCCTGGTCCTGTAGTTGTTCGGCCTGTTGAGTAATCCATCCATAAACCACCTACCTATCAGCCTACCTATAACTCTTGAGGTTTTAAAACATGAACACTGGGAGGCTTGTGAGCGTGCGCACACTCACACATATAAATCATCCACTGAGTCTTCTGGTGCTGCTGCTGAAGGTTTTACACAGAACAAAGACACATCTTGGTCTGAATCGCTGCCTGAGACCACTGTGACTGTCTGTGACTCAGATATCCATTGTGATCGGATTTCCCCCACACTACCAACAGTAATCTGTGCTGTAAGTGGATTTATGTAACCTACTGGTGTCTACGCCCAGATTAAATGTGGACATGTTTAATCTCCGCCCCTCCCACCCTGAAGTACGTCATCCCATTCACTTTAGTTTGCTGCAGCAGCTCTTTAACTCTTCCTCAGTCTGCAGAGGACTAATCACACCAAGGCTTTCCCTTCTGGTGCCTCACTGTAGCTGCATCAGTGTCTGTGTGATGCTTCGTTAATACTTCACATATTTGTGGGACTGCTTCTCTGAAAAACAGGAAAATTATTTCTTTGTGACTGCCCTCAAAAACGACTGTTACAAAACAAGTCATATGAGTGTTTCCTGATCGGCCACCTCTGGGGTTGTTGTGCTGCTGCCGTGGTCCTGCCAGATGCCTCCTGCTGCTGCTGCCATCATTAGTCATTAGTCATACTTCTACTGTTATTATACACATATGACTATTGTCACACATGTATACTGCCAGATATTAATACATACTTTCAACATATTGTACCACAGTAGCCAGAACTATAACTATAATATTATTACTTTCATTAATGTTGTTGTAAGCTACTGTCATTACCTGCATCTCTCTCTCTCTCTCTCTCTCTCTCTCTCTCTCTCTCTCTCTGTCTCATTGTGTCATATGGATTACTGTTAATTTATTATGCTGATCTGTTCTGTACGACATCTATTGCACGTCTGTCCGTCCTGGAAGAGGGATCCCTCCTCAGTTGCTCTTCCTGAGGTTTCTACCGTTTTTTTTCCCCGTTAAAGGGTTTTTTTGGGGAGTTTTTCCTGATCAGCTGTGAGGGTCATAAGGACAGAGGGATGTCGTATGCTGTAAAGCCCTGTGAGGCAAATTGTGATGTGTGATATTGGGCTTTATAAATAAAATTGATTGACTGATTGATTGATGGGGTTGAGGTATGAATTATTTTAGGGTGGGTAAAGACTGACGTCGTGTCTCTCAGTATGTAAGTCGATTCTTCAAGTCTAAAATACTCACAAGTCATAATCATTGCTGTCTGCATCAAATGCACTTTGAAGGGTTGGGTCATCTTTTCTACTTTCATATTGTTCATATGTGGTCACGTGACATCGCCAGTAGGTGATCCAATCACCAGGAGCCGGTGGGAACAGACGTGGACGGGGGTCTCCTGTTTTTGTAAGTTAAGCATTGAGCCCTTGATTTAAATCTGCCGTTGTCCATTTTAAGCATGTTTTGGAAGAGTTGGTAATAAAGTTCAGCAGCTTGTTTCCCAAATGTGATTATTGAGGACCGTTTATAGGTGAATGAACACATTAATAACCACCTTAAAGGGGAACTAATAAAACCTGGGCCCTATGTTCAGATCTGCTTTTGTCTAAATGAGTGATAGGATGTTCAATATGTGACATGTCTCCAGTATGAAGCTAGGGCTGACCTGCGGGCGCTCATCACATTCAAATGGCTCATCCAGATCCAGTTGGTCAAAATCGGGTAAAGATTCAGCCATGACTACTCTAAACAGAGGAACTCCTGGCGTTTGTAAGGTCACTCCAGCGGTAACTTCCTGCAACAACTCAAATCTGGCAAGACGTGAGATTTCAGAGCCAGACTTTCGCTCTCTGAGTGAGTGTTTTGACTTGCCACAACAAACATGTCTGAATTTGTACCCGATTTTGACCAACTGGATCTGGATGAGCCATTCGAATTTGATGAGCGCCCGTGTATTTGAACACGGAGTACACGTACGTACACGGACGCAGAGCTCATTGAAACTGAAGAGCGGACGAGGAGAGACAGGGAGCAGCAACAGGCAGAGGAACATGTCTGAATCCAGCTAAAGGTAAACACACACGTTCATTTCTCCTTTCCGTTATGTTGTCAGATAATTATACTAACAATCCGAGCCTATCTGTGTGAAAAAAATGCACTTTTAGTGGACGTATTTTGACGTTGTTTGACGCTGTCTGAGTGCCCTATTATTTAATATAGCGCGCGCTCACGGGCTGCAGGCAGGTCAGCCCTAGCTTC